ACCAGAGCGCGAGAGTTTGAAAGCTATCGAAGCAACATACGTATTTTTACGTGGATGTAGTATCATTTTTCTTCGAATAACGTAGCCTATGTTACCTATGTTAACGTAGCCCTTCAGAGAAAGGGAGGAAGCTGGTGTTAAAATCTGGTATCAGTCGGTTGAGTCCTTTACGAAATTTTTGTGTACATACAAACAAACGCTCTCTTTATATAATAGTCAGACAAGATAAGACGAGATAAGATAGGACTACTGAAGATTACTGAAATTATTATATTCGGTATATTCCTTTATTATATTCCTTTTTTGCTAAAAAAAAAAAAATTGATGCTAATCGCTAAACAAACGTAGTTCCAAACGAATTTCTTTCCTCGATGTCGCTACGGGATCTCGGAGGAAAAACCTGCGTCTCGTTATGTTTTCCCAGAGGAAATGAAAGAGAACGATTGTACTATCGGAGTTTCAGTTTGAGGTAGACCTTACCGATACGCTTGACGTCATAACTGTTTCGTCGTAAAGGGAACTCGTAAACGGACTTTGTCGAATCGAGAAGTGTAAGATTACATTGTTATATCGCTCGAGCCTCTCGAATTTTTCCTTTCCTGAATCAGACAAACGAGGAAGGTCGCTTCTTTGAACTGTAAAGGGTTGAAATCTGCTTGTTACGGTTCGCGCGGTCTCGCGGTGCGTCGAATGTATTCTTCCCTTATAAAGGTACGATCGGAGTTGGAGCGAATCGCTTACATGTCCGACGGGATTCTTTCGTAGTTCTGTTCCTCGAATTGAAGCCAAGCATCGCCGTACTCGTGGACCACGGTGAAGTTGTCGTGCGCGAATTCTTCCGGGTCGATCAGGAAGCTGCCGTGGTGGCAGTCCAGTTGGATTTTCTTTCCGTCGGAGCATCGGATCGTCTGCAACCATATGGAACCATCCGGGCAACAATTTACGTCGACCCCGCGGCTCGACGCGATCGTCCACATCAACAGGCATATCGACAGTAATCCTGAAAAATGATCACCGTTTAATCGTCGTTTGATTAACGGGGTTATCGAAGTCTCTCAAATTAAACCGACGATTAGATTAGAGTATATTTTCGAATCGTTTATGATTCATTTCTTTTTTCTTCGCGCAATGGCCAGTGGCTGTTGCTACAGATTCCACGTACACTCGTCCAAATAGAGATTAATGCCAGACGTTCTTATTACATGATCCAACATTCGCGGTAGCATTTAGTTTTGCAAATCGAACACGATTAATCCTATTCGAGCTTGTTTTCTTTAACGCGTGATCTTCGGAATTAATTTTTCATTTCTTCAGTGAAAATTCCTGCCGTCTATATACGGATGACGCGGAATTCAACGCGTTGAAGTGGACGTACACGTTTAAGGCTAGGTTTACAGAAGCACCTCGGCAATTTCAAATTTCACGAAATTCTCCGGAAACCGTTTACATCGTTTAACCAGCCACGCGTGCCGGCTACGTTCGAATTCATTTTTGTCCGAGACCTCTGAAATAATTTTACTAAATCTACGTCACCTATTGAAGCATCACTTTAGTAATCTGATAAGGTGTCTCCGTGAACCTAGTGTTAAATTCGCTATACTGATTGTATCCCTGGCGAATATCGTTCGGTATTAACGATAAAATACAATTCAAGTATCGTGTCGAGGCGGAGTTCGAATTGATCGTAGAAAGAATGGTGTTCGATACTTGGTCTCCTCTTTTATAAACGCGATGCATCAGCAACAAACTGAATATCGATGGCAAAGTCCATCAATAGTGCCCTCGTATTGTTCTCTGTCTCGCGAGATAAACGAGTACTGAAATAGCAATCGAGTCCGAGGATATCGCACGCTTAACTCGACAAAGTCAACGATAGGGTACAATAGAATGACCGAGATACAAGGAGACCGAACTCGTAATTGATCGTCGCGTGAAAAATCCTTTAATTTCGTTTATCTTATCGTTTTATTGCAGTAATTTAATACTTGGAGCATGTTTCCTGCTGGGCCCAAAAATAGACGCGCGGGGTTGACAAATAATGGGGAATAAATGGGTCGTTGGTCGGATATGGGATCCCCGGGGAAAGTCGTGCGTCATACCGATAACGACTGACGCCAATTCCAAGCGGTCGGATAGATTTTAAACGTACAGATTCGAACGATAAGTAATTGTTGGTATTTCTTTGCTCGATGAATAATTCATTACAGGAAGCCGCTACTATGTTCGTTGTTCGCTTCTTTCGTATATTTACCGCCAAATCGTGTCTGCGTTTGGTAAATATACAGGGTGTCCCAAAAGTCGGGGAGGAGCCGGAAATGGGGAGTAGCTGAGACGATTCTGAACAACAATTTCCTTTGCAAAAATGTCGGATGGGGCTTCGTTAAGGAGATATTAAGAGAAAACACCGACCAATCAGAGCGCGCGTAGACCGTTGGAGCGCTCGCGGTAGCGTATGAGCGCTGCCACCTAGCGCGTAGCCTACGCTCACCCGGCATACTCGCGCTCTGATTGGTCGGTGTTTTCGCTTAATATCTCCTTAACGAAGCCCCGTCCGACATTTTTGCAAAGGAAATTGTTGTTCGGAATCGTCTCAGCTACCCCCCATTTCCGGCTCCTTCCCGACATTTGGGACACCCTGTATACCGATCGGATGGAATTCGAACCTGGAAGTAAACACGGGAGATGTTCGAATCGGGAGGTCACGCGAGATCGCTGAACAGAAATGCACATTGTATTTCCGAGCGAGATAAATTTTTCTCGCAAGATAAATTTTCCTCGCGATAAGATACCTCGTATCGCAGAAAATCGTTTTCGTTATCGATCGGAAAATGCCGCGTTGAATGGGTACATTCGATCGAGAAACGTAATTCCAAATAAGGTAAACGTAGCTCTGCGTTAATAACACGGTCTCGCGACGACAGCGTGCAGCGTGAAAAACGATCGCGAGTAGAAGAAAGAAAAAGAGAAGCTTCTGTTAGTTAGACGCCCCTTGTTGTTCTCGTCCGTTCTACAATGCCACGCGCATGTGGCATTGAAGCGTGCAGATGCATCGGGCCTCGTTCGATTCAGCCAAATACGGACTCTTTAATTTTAACACCCGATTACCTCGAGATCATTGTCGATCCGATTCACCCTTTTGGCGTCAGGATTTCAAAGCGGAGCGAATTAGAAAGATCGAGAATTTGTCGCATCCAATGCTTTGTACTATGTTATCGGCTTTAAATGCCCCAAGTTTCGAGTTTCGTACCGGACTTTTAAATGGAATCGTACACTTTGTCCGTGTGTACGGTCTCTCGAACGAAAGTTAACAAAACAAACGTCAGCTGTCGAAATTGTTCAAATAATAAATACATCGATATTTTTTAAAATTTAATTTGGAAAATCAGACTTCTAAGTTAATAGTCGATAGTTACTCGGAATTTTAGAGAACATTAATGTAATATATTCGTTAGATCGAATAGGGAGTTGTCGAGAATGTTTTCTTTTGGATTGTTACGTCAGTTACATCGAGCAAATATTATGAAAATAATTAGAAATTCGCAACACGGAATTGCTCAATCGCACGCGATAGCGTTATCTTATTTCTCTATTTCTTTCCACTCTTTGCTTTGACGTTTCTCTTCCGTCTCTTCTAAAGAAAAAAAAAAAAAAAAAAAAAAAACGAAGAAAAATGTTTGCAATTTCTTTTATCGAGCTGAACGTGATGCAATCAGCGTTCCGATCCGAAAAGTTTCACGTTTCCTCGTCGAACGGTGAAAACGACGCGAGTGCACGAAATGCTGCCGATCAAATTTATATAGATCGTCGCGTAAACAGAACCAGACGTGTTTTACGACGATAGTCGTTTATTTAACGTAACGTGCACTACGATTCCGTCGAATCTCGCGCGAGAATCTATTTTTCGTCTCGACAGAACCGAGAAAGCGCTAAAATCGAGTTGAATCATCCGATTCGAGAGACACAGAGACAGGAGGTTTACCTTTGACTGGCATCGTGCCCAGGCACCTGTTGTATCTCACGTCCAACGTTATCCTCGGTTTCCGTTACCGCATTTCTTCTGGGAAAGCGACTTGTTTTCCCGAAATTCCACGAAAAGCCAATTTAAACGGTATCGAGCTTCGTCCGATCCTCTTTCGCGCGAAAAGTTCGGACGCAAGGTATTTTGCCACAGTCTTCGGTTTTATCCTCGGAGTTCTACATTCGACGTCCGCAGAAAAATTCGTAGGAATCTTCCTAGCGGGCCTGTTTAGACGCAAGATACCTCGTGATTGCTTACGGTTTGTCCGCGTTCGACATCCCAGTAGACGAATTTGTTCGTTTCACCCCTCGAATTGTATAATAGTTCGTGTTACTGTCGATAGTTCGTCGGTATCGAGGAGTCTTTCAATTACGAATCTTTTTTCGTTCGTCTATCACGGCTGATCAAACGTTTCCGCGGAGATATCAAGATGCCGAAGAAGCACGGCGATGCGCGTTGACGGACTTGCGTTGCGCGTGAAACTGAAACAATCGTGGATGGAACATCGATGAGGCCCAGCCGGTCGCAGATAGCACGATTCTCTCCCACCGTTGCATCCAACATCGCGTCAGACGTTTCCTGGCCAGAGGAACGTTTTACTTGTGTTGCTGCACTGGTCGAGACTGTGCTCTTGTACTTCCGTTCGACCGAACTCCGATCCATCCAGGTCTGAATAGATCTTCGGGTCTATTCGAGTCTACTCGGTATCGAAGCAGCGCCCATTAACCGTTTGCACTCGAGGCCTTTTTTTTTTCTGGTACCTGGCAGCAACTCGAGATGTTCCTTAACATTCTATCGCCGTGAATTCTAAGCTATTTAGATTTGAAAATAACGTCACGTTTACCACGCCGACACTTCGAGCTGCAAAGAAATGAAACCTGAAGAACCTCTGCACGTCTCGAGTGCAAAGGATTGATTCGTAGCTACTCGTTTTCTGTACAGTCTGCCTCGGGTTGTTTCGGTGACCGTGACTTTCAAACTGCTTACTCATTTTTTAGTTTAGAAATACGCTTCATTGACGACACCTATTGATTACTCGATGACAGCGATATCGACTACGCGTTGATAAACGCATTTCCTATATACATCATGAATCCTATATACATCATTACATTTTTCATTAATCGCATAACGTCGTGTGTTCGTTTTAACAATTATTTACTGTCGGTGAATCGTCGCTGAATGACGGTCACTTTGTATTTCTGTTTCCAAAAAATGTGTTACAGAAGACTGGTAGTACTCGTAATCGTCGTTTTATGATACACGGTGCGAGAAAGAGCTGATTCATTCTACGGACTACAGAATGCTAGGAACCTTTGAAGCACCCTGTTTATCCGAGTCGATTCACGAGTCTTTCAAGTAACCATTGATAACGCTAGTTTAAAATCAAAATGTACATTCGATGCCACAAGTTTTTTTCTTATGTATTTTGGCCAGCTCGAGAATCGCAATGAAAAATTTGTCCATTGATAGGTGTTTTATATATATATATATATATACATGAACTGTTCCTAACACCGGTATTTATCCATAGATTTTCTAATCAAATTCAAATTCAAAAATTCATACAAAAAAAAAAAACGTATCCGTAGAGAAATTTTTCATTGCGATTTTCGAGTCTGGCAGGCCAAAATACGTAAGAAAAAAATTGTGGCATCGAATGTACATTTTTATTATTATTTTTTTTTTTTTTATTATTATTTTGTAAACTAGTGTAATCATTTAAATATCTTTTCGCTTGAAATCATATTTATCAATAAAGTACGTATCATCCATTTCATGTATTTTACGTCATCCTTATTTATTTTACGAATCTCTGCTAGACGATACGTTACCGCGACTATTAATTGTCGTCAATAACAAGCTCGATCTGCGATCCAGAAGCTACGTTAAACGTAGGCTTGCAATCTCGAAAGCTGACGGTTGGGTATAGACTCGTTGAATCTTTCATCGAGGCGACTCGTTTCGCCGCAGTGCGTCGTAGACTATCTGACTGCATCAATCGAATCGTCAGGCTTCGTTGATAACACTCCGTGTACTTTGCAATTAGATATCCCGGAAACAATTAGCTGGTTCGTTTCAAACGTGCGCATCAGTCCCGGCAACATACTTCACGCTATAAAATCAAAATTAACGTTTCTGGTAACAACTGACGGAAAAGTATCGTTTCTTTCGTTCATTCTTCTCTCGATTGTACTTGCTACCAAGAAAGTCACTTGTTTATAATGAAACTAATTTAATTTATATAAACTTATTGTTAACGGAATGAAACTGTCCACGATTCGTTATCATCAAAATTCGAATCTCTCGATTCCGGTCTTAAGGATTAGCGTATGCAAAGAGAACACTTAAATTGAAAAAACCAAATTGCTCGGATACAGTAAACATTTTAATCGTAACGCGAAGAAATAGAAATTTAGATGAATGTTCGTCAACTATATCCGATGCGTCCTTTTGTTTGCAGCTGTTGGAGATGCTGAAATTTTATGCCAGATTCGAAATCAACGAGGAAAGTGGCGATCCTCTCACCGACCACGATATGACGCAGTTGCACTACACCAAGATCACTTCGCTTCAGGTATAAAATATAATGTCGATTGTAATTATTATTTACGATTACCTTTATACGTTCGTGATTATATCGAGGTACGAGTAAAATTCAAATTTTCCGCAGAAAGCTGTGTTCGCCAAGTTCCCGGACTTGCGAAGCTTCGCTTTGACCAACGTGGCGAGCGTCGACACGAGGGAGGCACTCTACAAACACTTTGGCTCTCTTAGGTAATATTTTTTAGGTAGTATCCTAGCGTTTTCTCTTTCCGCTGGTCAGCATTTACTCGATCGCTCGTCAATTTTTCACCTGTTTGCTTTTTCAGTCGAGAGAAATTGAGATCCATCGCGAGTTACCTCAGCTTGGTGCCATCGGAGGAACGAGAGAAAGAGGAGAACTGGTACCGATACGATATTCAATTCCTTCAAGAACTTTTGGTAAAGAACGAAAAAAATAATAATAAGGGAACATATCCTAAGAACTAAAACGAAGTAGAGTCATACTCGGTTGTAATGAGCTCCGTGAGACTTTGTTTATTTGCTTATAATTTGTAGACTACATTGATACGACTTCTGTTAGCCATTTTATTCACGAACGTTAGAATGGATGTTTGTTTTGACACATCCGCTACCATTTATCACGTATCTGTGACGCGCGGTTCTCGCGAGAGGCCAACGTCACGTATGCGCGACGGGCGACAATTGTGGTCTATTTAATTCGCTTTATTTATGCATATTTAAAAGCATGTAGTATACTACGTAAAGTTACTACAAATATCCATGTTGGTTGTAACAGAATTTGACTGTAATATCGGTACCACGTTAACGTCGATAATCGAATTGCAGATTTCGCGGCACGAGCGTAGAGCTTCCCAATTGGAGGAACTAAACGAAATGCCTCTTTATCCGACGGAAGAGATCATCTGGAACGAAAGTATCGTACCGACGGAATACTTTTCTGGCGAAGGCTGCTTAGCTCTACCGAAATTGAATTTGCAATTCCTCACTCTCCACGATTACTTGCTGAGGAATTTCAATCTCTTCCGGTTAGAGTCGACCTGTATGTGTATAACAGTCACGATCGTCTAAAACATCAAGTCTCTTTATCTTTAAGTCTTTTAACTCATAGTGTTATGGGTCAAGTACAACGCATTTTAAGAAAATCGTTAATTTCAATCGATGTATAGAGAATGTCAATTAATACAGCGACTGATAGGATTAATTACTTGCAGATGAGATACGCCAGGATATCGAGGATGCTGTAAGCAGGCTGAGTCCTTGGTAAGCCAGTTTTATTAATGAATTCAAGCCGTTGTGAAGTGTATGTTAATGAACCTTTTATTTATTTTATTTAGGCGAGCAGAAGATGGCGGCGTTTACTTTGGGGGCTGGGCCAGGATGGCACAGCCTATCACTCAGTTTGCTGTGGTAGAAGTGGCGAAACCTAATATCGGTGAGAAAAGGCCATCCAGGGTACGCGCTGACGTCTCGATAAATCTGAGTGTTCGGAAAGAAATTAAATCCGAATGGGAAAACCTTCGAAAACACGATGTTTGTTTTCTCATTACAGTCAAGCCTCAAAACCCAATTGGTATGACGTAAAACTAAAGTAACATAGGATATGATTTGATTGATAGCATTAATTTAAAGAATCGATTCAAATATTTTGTTTGCCACCAGGTACCAAATACAGTCACAAGCTACCTTTCGTTCCACAAGTTGGCCTAACAACCGTTCGAGGATGCGAAGTGGAAGGTATGCTGGACTCGAATGGTAGAGTAATCGAGGATGGTCCTGAACCACGACCGATTTTACCTGGAGATACTCGAACGTATAGAGTCTGGCTAGATTCCAATCAATATCGAATCGACATGGATAATGCTAGTCATGGTGGCGATGATGTGTACGAAGGATTTAACATTATAATGAGGCGTAAGCCAAAAGAGAATAACTTTAAAGCGGTCCTAGAAACGATCAGAGAGCTAATGAATACAGAATGCGTTGTGCCTGATTGGCTTCACGATATAATTCTTGGGTACGGTGATCCTGGCGCGGCTCGTTATTCTAGGTAAATAAAACGAATACTATTATTTACTAATTTAAAACAAATTTATTTTACGTATACATTTTTGTTTATTTTTGTACATAGAATGCCAAACGAAATCGCAGTAATGGATTTCAACGATACGTTCCTTGACATAGATCACTTACGAGGCAGTTTTCCACAGTATGAAAGTCTAGTAGCTACCGATAATGAACAGAAGCTAGTGCGACCTTTTCGTTTAACGTTCGAAGATGTTCTTGCCAAGCATGACAATAATCCAGCAAAGAAAGTGATCAAGGTTGAACCACATGTGCCACCTAGTCGAGGTCCTTATAAAGCTAACGAACCAAAAAAGTATATAAATATTTAATCATCGTCAATAAAATGTATGTTAAGTATAGTACCGATGGAATTATATTGAAATGTACATAAATTTATTACAGAAATCAGATTCCCTTCACGCCAACGCAAGTCGAAGCCATTCGTGCCGGAATGCAACCAGGATTGACGCTTGTTGTAGGTCCACCCGGTACTGGCAAAACGGACGTTGCCGTTCAGATTATTTCCAACCTTTATCATAACTTTCCCAATCAGAGGACACTGATAGTCACACACTCTAATCAAGCACTCAATCAGCTGTTTGAAAAGATCATGGCGCTCGATATCGATGAAAGACATCTGCTGCGTCTTGGTCACGGAGAAGAGGCATTAGAAACCGAAAAAGATTTCAGCAGATATGGTAGAGTTAACTATGTTTTAGCTAAGCGATTAGATCTTCTAATGGAAGTTCAAAGACTGCAGGTTTGTAATCTATTATACACACAGCGTGGTCTTATGTATACAGATCACCTTCAAATCTAGACAACTACTTTGTCCGTGTACATACTAGAGATATGCTTATTTTCAGGAATCATTGAACGTAAAAGGTGACGTAGCATACACTTGTGAAACAGCGGGACACTTTTTTATGTATCAAATATTGACGAGATGGGAACGTTTCGAATCCAGAATTAAACAAAGGCAGGGTACAGGAAAAAATTTACCTCCTGCTTTTATTGTTGACGAAGAATTCCCGTTTCATAAATTCTTCGATAACGCACCGCAACCACTGTTTAAGCGCAACACGTTCGAGGAAGATCTTGAAATAGCGCGTAGCTGTTTTCGGTAAATTGATATCAAACATTATGTAATAAATATGTTTCCATTCAATTGTTTTATCTACATATTAATCTGTACAGGTACGTAGAGAGAATCTTTGCGCAATTAGAAGAGTTCAGAGCTTTCGAATTGTTACGATCTGGATTAGATAGGTCAAAGTATTTATTAGTCAAGGAAGCAAAAGTGATTGCTATGACTTGTACTCATGCTGCTCTTAAAAGACGCGAGCTCGTAGATATGGGTTTCAAATATGACAATATACTTATGGAAGAATCTGCACAAATTTTAGAGATAGAAACGTTTATACCGTTGTTGCTACAGAATCCTCAAGATGGATACAATCGACTGAAACGTTGGATAATGATAGGAGATCACCACCAGTTACCTCCCGTTATTAAGAACATGGCCTTTCAAAAATATTCAAACATGGAGCAATCCCTTTTCGCGAGATTCGTTCGATTGGGAGTCCCCACGGTTGATCTTGATGGTCAAGGTCGTGCTAGGCCCAGTATTTGCAATCTTTACAATTGGCGATACAAGAAATTGGGCAATCTGACTCACGTAGAGCGCAGTCCAGAGTACCTAGTGGCGAATGCTGGATTTTTGTACGACTTTCAACTCATTAATGTCGAAGATTTCAATGGAGTGGGCGAAAGTGAACCTAGCGCTTACTTCTATCAAAATCTTGCTGAAGCCGAATATTGCGTGGCTGTGTTTATGTATATGCGCCTCCTCGGTTACCCAGCCGATAAGATCAGTATATTGACTACTTATAATGGACAGAAACACTTAATTCGAGATGTGATAAATATAAGATGCGCTAGCAATCCTTTAATAGGTCGACCAAATAAAGTAACAACAGTTGACAAATATCAGGGTCAACAAAATGATTACATACTATTGTCTCTCGTGAAGACACGTGCCGTGGGTCACTTGCGAGATGCTCGACGTTTGGTGGTAGCAATGTCAAGAGCACGTCTTGGTCTTTATGTTTTCGCTAGAGTGTCCCTTTTCAAGAACTGTTTCGAATTGACGCCTGCTTTCGATCAGCTAATGCAGCGACCACTGAAGCTGCAACTCCTTCCGCAAGAACGTTATCCTACCGACAGACTTAACGATGCTATTCCATCTGATCCCCCAATGGAAATCGAAGATATGCCTCACATGGCTAAGTTTGTCTACGATTATTATATGGAGAAAGTCAGTGGTATGAAGGTAAGCTGAATTTTCCATCGACTCATTAGCTAGGAATTAATTTGGAAATAATTACAGGAATCACAAAAGATGTGGCAAAAGCCAGGTACAATGACACCTGGTAGCCCAACTCATAAAGTTCCTGCACATCCTGGAGCGGATGACGATACAGATGACGAAGAACTTAACGAAATTAGTGATGAACAGGGAGTCGCCAAAGAAGAAAGCGCAGAACGGAAATTCGAACTGATAAAAAATTTAGTTGAGGAGCCAGCTTCAGAAAACGAAGAGAACGATCGTTAACGATTTATTTGTACATTGACAAATGAGTATTTTAATAGTAAAGAGAAACTATTCGTACACTCAAAATACATCCCATTTTTATTCAGATCATATTTATTGTACAGCAACATGGTATCGAATCATGTTATAATGAAATTAAAAAATATTTGTATTTTCTACTTACAAATTACAAATAATGTTACATTTATATATATTGTTTGATATTAACTATCAAATTGTATTTCAGGTAAAAAGATCCATAATTCTCTTAGTTGATGTTTCTTTTTCTCGCAACGAGTGTTTATCTAATTGTACCTTCTTTAATCGTTCAGTTGACTTTTTCGTATCTTTGTTAATTAATTGAACGCTCGAGGGCACGTAACTGTCGTCAAATTTCATCGTTGTACTAGTAAAATCCGGTTGATATTCTTCAACGGAAGCTTTGATTCCCTTCGAATTGGGAACGTATTCCTCGGGAATATTTACAATGGACGTTGCGTTAGGTTCGTACGTCTCGTAAGACACTTTCGATGAATCCACGGAATTAGGAATATATCTAACAACTTCCGCTACGCCTTTACTATCCGATACAGTAGGGGAATACTCATTCGTAGATATTTGGATTTGTTCCAACATACTCTTTCTGCTTGGTATATATTTCAAATGCGTGCACAATTTTTTTGCGACGGGTGCATCCGGAACATACTCCTCCAATCGGGCATTCCCTAAGCTTTCAAACTGTAAATATCTCTTAGTTCTATCATTTTTCGTCTGGCTCGATACCTTCGTAATATTACCATCTTCCACTTTCTTTGGTAAAGTATTGCCGTTATCTTTTTGGTGCGCGGAATCAGAATCGTGACGTCGAGATTTTTCTAACGTTCGATCGCGAGTTTCTCCTTTCCCTAATGATGCTTCTGACGGATTTGTCTTCGACTTTTTTTTCGCGGGAGACACGTTTACCCTGATCGTAGGCAGTGATGCAACATCTTTTACATTTTCTGACGGTTCAAACGTATATCTATGATTTATAAAAACGTCTGTTTAAATATAGTAACAATAATAGAACTCAGTGGCGGATCTAGACTTGTCACGGCCTGAAGCTAATTACAGTGAGAGACTATTTTCTTTTCGTTTTTAGAATTATTATTATATGAGATTTACGTCAAAGCTATTTATTAAAGAATGTATACTATTTATTAAAAATAAATAAATCAACGGATAAAGACTTCTTGTGAAAGCTTTCTTTATGGGAAGCTGTAGCTGTAGCTGGAGCTTCATTAGTTTCATGGTAGATCTGCCCCTGATGGAACTTATTATGTTGCTAGTAATTCAAAATCTATAAGGTTACGTATTAAGGTCATTAGGACACTTTTCGTTTAGAGAAAAAAGTGTCCAGTAACAGTATCTTATAACGTTTAGAGTCAACTCTTCTAACGTTTCATGAACAGTAATTCAATCGAACGTTACGTATTTTACGATCTGGCTGGATGCTAAAAACAATGAATTATACACTGTACTGCTTACGTGACTTCCAATTGTCGAGTAGACTTCCTTCCCTTGCATTTCTCCGAATTCGAAGATAATCCTTCTTTCCGAACGTTACGCAAAATCGCTTTCTCCAAAATTTTATACAGTGCTGCCCAATCCTCGAGATCCAGCCACTTGTTGGTCGGAACTTCTTTCTCCCGAATTTTCATGGTCTTCTCTTGGACGGTAACTACAGCGGTAGCTAAACAATTATCCGATGCCTACGAATACACACAGCTTCTGTTTTACTTGTGTTAGATGCAGTATCGTCGATTAACAGCTGTCGACAGCTGTTGATCATAGTACCTTTATTACTTCCAAATATTGGCCATCGCGAAACATTTTTACAGCGTGTTTGTCATCGGCTATTCGAGTATCGTTTTGTTAATCGTTTATCGGATACTACGTTGTTTATGTATACGCTGTACACATTTTTATTTGAAGGATGTATATCACTAACTCTGCTAATACCTTTGCTTGTCACTTTGGTGTGATGTCAGCGTGCACTGACGTACGCACAGCAACACGTGGTGAAACGGGTAAATGAAAGTGAAAGATGAAAGTAAACTAAAACGTGAAAACCGAACATCTAGTTAATATGATTTCGAATCGAACATATTTTGAAATGAATTATTGTAATATACATACTTTGTAATATAAGTTTATCTATATCCTTTTCCTTATCGCTTTGTCTCTGGATATGTGCACGTATCGTTTACTATGTAATTTTTATAGAATTTCACGTACCGAGACGAATGTAAACAGAATATCGTTGTCGCAGTATATATTATTGCTTTCATAGAAAATACTATTCGATTATTCTACGAATTTCTATAATAATATTGATGATCAAATACTTGGATATTTACATATCTATTCAAATGTTTGTATATATGTAAACTGGTTGCAGGTGTCAACGTAGAGTGGTTTTACGTATAAACAATAAAATTAATTAATGATGGGGTCAGAGGAGAAGCCAAATATCCTGGAGAGATTCATAATTTTTAGTGAAACTCACTCTGAAACTATTAAGGTTTAACCTAACCTTCATTTTGTTTTAATGTTAAATTATATATTAAATTATAACTTGTTTTTCTCGTTTTAGATCGTCAGTTATGGTGTTGCCAGTATGAGTTTGGTCATTGCACTCTATCAAATTAGACCTGTACGTATGCAATGTGTTATTTAATCCTACAACTTAAATACTTTCTTATTCTTTTTTAGTTTGCTAAATTTAGGAAACCATCCAGTGTGCCATCTCATTTTTTGCACAATAAAGTTCCACTTGAAGGTACTGTGATACGCGTAGAACCTAGTTGTGGAACACTTCTCATGGTTGACCATAAGCCATTAATACCTCTCCCTCGATTGAGTAATTCAAATTATCTACCTGTTAAAATAGCTGGAGTTAATGTAACAGCTAATGGTGAGCAATAACAAAATATTAACTAGTACATTCCATTAATAGATATTCATTTTTAGGTATCAGCTGGTTACAAACAATTGTCTGTGGAAAAAGCATAACTTTTACACCTTTGGCTAAAGAAAAGGAATACTTGAATTGTTTGGTTACTATGCTACAACAGAATCAGGTGAACCAAGTTTTTACTAATGGGTTAAATTTTTATTTACAAATTTACATAGAGTTTGTTATGTAGAAACGTGTAACAGTTGGAGAAGAGCTAGTGGAACTTGGTTTTGCTACAGTAACAGAAAGCTCATTGAAGCCAACATTACAGAACAAAGAAATCGTTAAATATCAAAAATGTTTATTGAACGCACAAAAACGAGCACAACGTAAAAGGAATGGATTCTGGCATTTTGCTAAACATTCAACAATCTTATGGAAAATCGAACAAAGTTTTTATAAAAAACTAAAATCCATATTACCTGTGTATATAGTACAACGATTTAATATTTAAATGTATTCCTTGCAAATGTATTTTTATAGCTTGTTTACAGTACTAGGAAAATCTCCTTTAATGGCAGATATGTACTTACAGCTTTTAAAATTCATGAGAGCATAAAGAAAGATTTATTATGAATATTTATGACAGTAAAAAGAGGATTTAAAAAAGAAGTTTATTTTTATACCACTTATACAACCTTTTACCAACTTTGATATAAAATTAAGAATATCATTTTATATCATCATACATAAAATTTGTTTCCTTATGTATCATTTAGCCAAAGAACTACAAAGTTAAGTACTATAAGTACGGATAGAGACTTTTTGCATTAATTAGAAACTATTTTAATTTTACTTGTAGCATAAATAATAAATACGTATGTATACGTATATATATATATATATATGTATATATATATACATATGTTTAACATGTTTCAAGTAGAAAAATAGATCACATACAAAAATAAATGAAAAATTTAATGGAAGATTCATATTATTTTTATGATGTTACGTTAAACAATTTTAATCACATAGAGGAATGATTTCAATTTTACAGACAGATTTGATCTAATATAAATTGCCTTATTTATATAGAACAATCATTTAAATATTTAATCTTATTCTATTATACAATATATTTTTTTCTGGAATGATAATTGAATAATATTAAAACAACAAGTCTATAACAAAATACCTTTTTTTCCATTTAGATCTCAACTTTGTTATACAATTAAATAAAATTAGAAATAACAAAATGCATATATTATATATATATATATATACTTATATTGTATATATAATATATACATATATTGAATATGATATTAGTAAATGTACTGTATTGCGATATGGAGAAATTTGCAAGAACAACATTATTTTTAACTTTATATACAAATCTAAATCACAGTCTAATACATTTTCTGATCTGTTAACCACAAATATGAGAATCACAACAAAATAAAATAACCTTATAATATCATTTTATGAAACTGTTAAGAAAACTTAAATAAAAAGCAAACTCTTTATCGGTAATATAAAGGAATGTATGGGCGTTTAAAAATATGTCAAATCTAAACAATGACGATATGTGTGGAATATGTAGAACTTGTAGTATCTAATGGAATATTATCAAGTTTTAATTAAAACTTGGACAGTGCCTGATTAAAATTAAATTATTTTTTTTATTTCTTAGTATTGGAATCACTAGTTTTCCCCACTGGTTTAGATTTCTCAGGCTGAGTTTGTTTAATAGGTTCATCGGATTTTGATTTTATAGGTGCTTCATTAGCTTTTCCTGATTCAATTTTTACATTTGATGTCTTTGTATTAACGTTTGAATTTGAATTAACTTTTTTAACTTCCTCCACGTTATCTTTCGTTGTTTCCTTCATTGGTGTTTTCACATTAGGAGGTTGTACAGCGGGTTTTGGAGCGGTTGTAGACGTTTGTGTGGTTGACTTAGGTACTGTTGCATCTGCAACTGGTTTTTGTATGTTGGACTTAGGTATTGTTGCATCTGCTACTGGTTTTTGTGTGTTTGACTTAGGTATTGTTGCATCTGCTACTGGTTTTTGTGTGTTCAATTTAGGTATTGTTGCATCTACGGTTGGCATTTTTGTGGTTGGTTTAGGTGTTGTTGCATCTGCAACTGGCTTCTGTGTAGTTGGCTTAGGTGTCGCATTCGCGACTGGCTTTTGTGTGGTTGGCTTAGGTGTCGCATTCGCGACTGGCTTTTGTGTGGTTGACTTAGGTATCGTCGCATCCGCGACTGGCTTTTGTGTTGTTGCAACTGTGGCTGGCTTTTGTGTTGGTACTTTAGTGGTTGGTTTTGGAGTTGTAGTTGCAGGTTTCTGAGTTGTTTCTTTAGCAGGTGGTTGAACGTTTGTAGGTTTTACTTCTACCTTGATATTTGGCATCTTTGTTGGCAATGGTTCGTCTTTTGTCTGTCTCTTTACTGTTTCAGATTCTTTCCACTCTGGGAATGCTTGTTTCAATGGAACTCTCATGATATAATCGTTTATAGGCGAGCCTAACCACAAGTATCCATTATATATGTAAGCAGAGGACATTGTATGAATTTTTTTATCTTCTGAGTATATAGCATCAAAGACATTTCCATTCTTATCTATTCTGAGTACGACTGAAGTTTGTGCTGTATCCAAAACCGACATAGACTCAAATGATCCAACTGAGTGCAAAACTCTTTCTGCATAATAATTTGGATAAATTTCTTCTAATAATTTAAATGGAGCTTCTATTAAATAGAACAACCTCACGATCATTTTTCGTAAATATGGATGTGGTATGAGTGAGTGAGATAAGAAAGGATGTTGAGAATCTATATATAGATACAAAGTTACTAGAAAACCTCCTTGTTCATCGCTATGTACATTATCTGGTACACCAGGTAAACTTTCTGCAAAGATTTCTTGTTGACCAGCTTTTGGACCTTTCAAATGGTACTTAATAATTCGCGAAGCTAGACATTCTAATACAATTAGAAAACTTTCATCATCGCTCAATGCAACTCCATTTGCAAATCCCAAATTTTTTACTAATACTTCATTCTTTTTTGTTACAGCATTGTATCGAATTAGTCTGCAAATGAGTTATTGTTTGTATATATCTGAACAAACATATAAAATTTTTAATTCTTACCTTCCAGATGGATTAGCAAGGAATGAATAAGCTCCATCATGAAGTGGAAAATTTGTACTTGAATCTGTCCAATAAATATCTCCATTCTTAGCAATGTCCAAAGAATTCCCTAGTCTTGGAATTTGTTCGTCAATAGGTTCAGAACTATTAACTATATTTGTATATTGTCGTGTCTTAACATTAACTTTAAAAATGCCATAGTAAGCATCCATTACAAATAATTCTCCTTTACTATTGAACTTTAAACCCAGAGGTTTACCACATTTTGCTTCCTGCCACAGACCATCTAAAAAAAAAAAAAAAGAACAGATCTCTCAAGTTAAAATATATATAATACTACTTGAGTATGTTGATAATTATTTTAACATTCGTATGATTAAGCCTGGGTCTTTTTAGAGTCATGCCTATAAAACTGACTACAGTATTCAACACCTGAGTCAATATTTGCTTAAGAACAGTAGACGCATGACTCGTAGGAATGTGGTTAAGTCAATATTAACTGTACTATGTATACTATTATTTTATTATTCAACTTATATGGCTTTCAGAAGCTAGTACCAGATCCTTAAAAATCTAATATAATATAAATATAATTATAATAATAACATTGGCAACATGAAGAATGTATTACGAGATGTTAACTAACTTATCAATGCCATTTTACTATTTCTTTTGTTTCAAGCATAGAAGAGATAAAAAAGGGAGATGCTTAAATTAACAGAACAAAGTGTGATAGAAATAAACATCCATATGGTTTGCATTTCAATGTACTAAATTAGTACTCTAAATTGATATAAAATAAAATAGATGTTGCTAATATTTTTTGGTTTCTTTAAAGGGAATATTTGCTGAACATAATAAAATAGTAACGAATAGTGTAGAGTACATTAAACAGGAACTGTTGGGTTGCAAAATACTCAACCTGAATCATCCCTCATCGAGGGTTTGAAAAAGGCAAACTCTTTGGAATAAAAACTTGTTATATAATTAAAATTGTTCTCCATCTTATTAAATAACATTTGCGTACACAAATCGAAAATATTACGCCATTTAAATAATACTTCAATTAATTTTACATACCACACTTTTGACCAAATTTCACAATCGGTACGATACGATTTTCTTCAATTTTCACGACATAACCTCCACTTATGCCAGTATATAATTCTCCATTGTACGACGCAAAACATTCTGGACCTTTAATTTCTCCAGAGAACAACTCTTCTGCTCCCTGGAGTCGATTTTTGATTTTAAACCGATTTTCTGGATCGGCTGGAAGTTTTATACTGAAACAATCGTTACGAAAACGTAGTTATTTATTTAACAAACTCGAAACTTGTGCTTATTTATTCGTAGAACTTAAATCATACCTGTATTCGGAAAATTCAGCATCTGGAGGTAAACCTGGCAAAAAGGTGATGACAGTTAAGACGAGACCGAAATAAATGATCACGGTGCCTATGGATTTTAAATATCCCATCGTTTAATTTTGTTGATTATCAATGTTTTTCAAAGTGTATTGTTCGTGTTTAACCGTTACTTTTTTTTTAAAAAATGACCGTCGTTAAAGCGAAGACTTGCTCAACGTTTCCTCATCTCGAGACTAATGCGGACTAATGGTACAGAGATAAAAGAAAAACTACTTCTATGTAACTGTTTCTTGCCGGCGTAGATAACGGCATTCGCGACTTTAATGGCGGTGAATCGTATAAAGTAGAATGCACATCTTCGCCAATGTCAGCGCAAGTAATGTTAAATAACTGCCACGCGGACGGAAGATGTCGATATTATCGATTTCCGTTGGCCACAGAATTTTATTTTATCGCCAACTCATCAAACATTTGTTTGATTAAGGTCGCCTTTCAGTAATAAGCAACCTCATTACCAGTAATTACTTTGGCTGTATGTCCACGCGTAAGCTTTGTTGTTTGTTGCCGTTATAACTTGTTGACATTGTCGAGTTACAGACGTAAAGATACACATAACTACAGTAATAAATAGCATTGATATTGTCTATTCCAAAACTTAGACAATGACAAAGAAGAATGATCGTACAGACATATCGTAGATGTATTTTAACGAACTATTAAACGATAGAAGTAAAAATTAAGGACGTGATTCGAGATCTTATACTGGTATAAGAAAGCATTTCATTATTCATTTATTCATCATTCATCTAATTTATACATCATTACTTATTAATTATTCATTTCAATGAAATTGATTGATGTATCCGAAGTCTTCACTAACGTTTGGCATTTTCCAGAATTATAATTCAGCATCCTTCGTGCATTATATGTTCATTATAGAATTTAATTACATTTTATGATACTTTATTATTCTTTCTCTGGTCGGGTCCCTCGAATATTGCAGAATACCCAACATGCCTAGATTTTATATGTATGTGTACATATATTGTAATGTATTCAATTGTAATTTAACAAAATGGGTTGATGTAATTTTTTGAAACTTACAATCCAGCCGCTAAATTTTAGCGTAACAAATTGTTACTAACAATAATCTCTAGTAATAAGCCGCGTGATTGCGGCAGAATCTTATTGGTCGTTGCATCTCTGTCTAGGAGTGTACCATAATTTAGTATTTTTTAAATACATGTATTCCTTCTTTCATTATTTTATTTGCTATCTATATATATATTTCATATCGGTATTTTCACCACAAAACTGTAATTATTGTACATGAATAACTAGTAAGTTTTTTTACTAAACAACTAATCATGTTGGCAATACATTTGAAAAATGACCGTTACCTGTTTATATAAAATTGAATATTTTTCTATGTACACTCGTTGTTATTGAATATGTATATAAAACCAAACAGTGCAATTAATAATAAACAGCATGAGACAAAATCTAGACTCAGCGATAAGCAAAATATTCTACGATGTTCAGTTCAACAGAACTTGTCATCGAAGTAATATAAAAAAATTGCGAAAATATTACGACCAGGTACTAACAAACAATCAAAATAACTTATGCTTTCACTTTCATTAGTCTGAACGATCGTAATATTTTTTTTTCATTTAAATTTTTGTAATAATAATTATTAATTCCTTTTTTTTGGTTATAGAGCGATCTATCAGATTTTTGGGAGTCCTTTGAGTCCTGTTTTAAAGTTCTGCTCGCTGTCGTTCTGAATCATCCACAGACTAAACACTCTCTTGAATTTGTTGCTAAATTTGCTACCAGTTTGCATATATTCACAAATGAAGAGTCAGAGGAACCACTGTGTCCTTTTTTAATTAAACTATACAATTTTCTTTTGAATAATCATGGCGCAAAGGATCCAGGAGTGCGATTTCGCATTTGTCACTTTTTGAATGTATTATTTAATTCAATGGGTGAACAAGCTTTTATAGAAGATGTTATTTGCAACAAGATTGTTGTATGTATGGTGACTCGTTTGAAGGATAAATCTCCAAAAGTCAGGACACAGGCATTGTTCGCTTTGCGTAGACTTCAAGACCCCATGGATGATGAGTGTCAGGTCATAAAAGTGTATACATTTCATGCTTCTAAAGATCCGAATGCAGAGGTTCGCAAAGCAGCATTGATGTGTATGGGAAAAAATCAAACGACATTGCAAGTAGCATTGAGACGTACAAGGGATGTGAATGAAGGAGTACGTAAAGTAGCATATGAATTTGTTAGTAAAATTACAGTTAGATCTTTAACTATCACACAGAGAGACCAGTTATTGAACGATGGCCTGAAAGACAGGTCTGAAACTGTTAGAAAATGTGTTGAAAATGTTTTACTACCATCGTGGTTAAGATATTTTAATGGAAATTTTATAAGCTTAATTAAAGCTTTTGATGCTGAAATTGGTACAGATGTATCTGTTCTTGCTTTAGAAACTTTGTTTAAGTAAGTATTTATTATGCAAACAATTAAACATTTGTTTCAAATAATAAATATTTTACTTTTATATAGGAGCAGTGCATTGAATACATTAATAGAACAGTTACCAATAAATAATGAAACAAAATTAATTCCAATAGATAAGTTAACTACCGAGAATGTATTATATTGGAAATGTTTAGTAAAACATCTTTGTCGTGGTGCATGTACAGAAGAATTGGAAAGAATTGTTCCTGAATTATCTATATTTTGCACGCACATCTCCGACTTTTTAACATCGATATCCATAAATCAAAATGAAACATGGGAGAACCATATGCAGAAGTTTATTCTTTTACAGTTATTTGAGATAGCAACAACATACGATCTATCCGATGAACTCGGACGGAAAAAGTTGAATGAATTAATATGTAACACTTTATTAAGCAACTACTGGTCTGAAAAAATCATTGAATGTGTGGTGTCACATTTGGAGAATGTTATACCAGATGTAAATAGCAGAGTAGATACTTTGGCTCATGTAATCAGTGATATCCGATTGCCTTTGAAGGAATCTACACAAGTAACTCAAATTTCTGAACATCAACAAGATGAAAATAATTTAAAAGTAATATTAATATGTTAATTCCAAATATTGTAACCATACTGTATGTTTAATCAGTAGTGTTTTTTAGAGAGCGAAACTAAAAGTGAAGTTGTTGGAATTAAAAGAAGAAGAATACCAAGCTATAGAAAAGAGGGAATTTTTGGAGGCAGATAGACTACAGAAGGAAATAAATGCTTTGAATCAAGAAATAATAAAATTGTCAAAAACAGTTCCTCCTCCTTCGACGGGTGCCGAAGATATCAAAGAAAAAGATGATCCAGAAACAATGATCAAATGTCTGAGCATAATATGCTCTATGATGCAGTCTGTAACTTCATTAACACCGACGCTCGGAAATCTGATACAAATTGGTTTCAATAGTTTAGATGTAAGTATTTCTTAATTTCAATTTATTATAAATTCATCTAATGTAAATCTTATTTTTAGCACTTGAATGATACTGTTCACATATTGGCAATAAAAGCAATTAGTATCTATTGCATATTGGATAAGGAGATGGCAAAAAAACATATTCTAATATTGTTCTTACAATTTTCTCTGGAACAAGAGAATCAGGAAATTTGGATCGCAGCTTTAAAAGGAATCCTTGACCTTTTATTGTTGCATGGGCTTGAATGTTTCGACATTTTCGAAAATCGTAACGCGACTACTGAAAGTACCAACAAATCTGAACTTGTGCAATTATTCACCGAACGAGAAGTGACTCTGTCGATGGTACGGGGGTCTGATATACAGAAAAATAATTGCGATTTTATCAAAATTTTAGCGGGATTACTAGATAACGAAGTAAGTACACATTATACGTAATACAAATTATACGTTGAGCAAAATATTATATGTATATATTTTAAAAAATTTAGAATCAAGAATTAAGAACGGTTGCTGCCGAAGGTATTGCAAAGTTGTTACTTAATGGACGAATCAGTAGCTCTAGCTTGTTATCAAGATTGATAATCTTATGCTACAATCCTGCAAACGATGCCGACTTTTTTCTTCGCCAATGTTTAAGCGGTTTCTTCGATAATTTTATAATACATGTAGCAGAGGCACAGAAAATGTTGGAAGAGGCGTATTTGCCAACATTACAAATTTTGTATAAAGCGCCAGATTTTAGTCCTATGCAAGAAATTGATCCTTACGACGTTTCCAAGTTTATATTGAATATAACTAGGACTGGAATATGCAGACATTCAACGAAAAATTATTGCGCGCATAATAACCTTGTTTTTACTATTTTCTTAGAAGCGTTGAATCCAGACAGTTACATTGATCAGAAAATGTTAATTAAATCTCTTCAGAATTTACACCTGGAGATAGACGATGATACGACGAAAGAAAGTTTACGACAGCTTATAAAGAAAGTTTTGGATACGGTAAGTCCGACGGTTTACTAGTTAGTGGTTATAAGTTTACCAGTCGTACTAATTTATCATCTTCTGTAGGTGGGTACTTCTGATAAACAATTATTAAATCACATTGAGACTTTTAAACAAAAATTAGAAACACCAAGTTCTATTCAAGACACGCCAAGGGATCAGGCTAGTGAATAGTTATAATCGTTAATAGTGTTATTAACACTAGCAATTACAGTTGCAATTAAATATTAACGACGATCTAAACTATTATCATTTTTTATCAAACCACCCTTATTCTTCTGTATCATTGCATTACATGTTATAATAAACATACATTGAAGGAGAAATGCATCTTATTTATTTCAATTCCCTCCCAAAACATACCTAGCCATATTTCCTTCGTGCCACCTCTTCGCATATCATGTTCTACTGATACCAGGAGGAGAATCGGTCAGAATTCCATACGTACCGAAAAATTTGTTCTCTACCAGCTTGGGCGGTTTGCCGATAGATGGCGCCACCAGCGCCGAATGACCGACTTTAAAAATTTGTATTTATTTAGTTTGTTTCTGTAAAAATGTATAGTATTACTCTACGTTAAGAGTACTAAACGATTAGCTTAACTCTTGTTCTATGAATTATAGAGGTCATAAAGATTTAGATATATATTCTATAGTATGGAAGGTAATTTAATTGAAATTGAGACAATTTTGAAACTACGAATATCTTGTTTTATTGTCAATTTACAAAATCAAAGTTACAAGAATTTAGACTACTTAAAGATTAATAACATTTATATTATTAGTGGAAGAAAGTACATAATTATAATTTTTGTACAAATTTTACACATTATACACCCTTATTCTTCTGTATCATTGCATTACATGTTATAATAAACATACATTGAAGGAGAAATGCATCTTATTTATTTCAATTCCCTCCCAAAACATACCTAGCCATATTTCCTTCGTGCCACCTCTTCGCATATCATGTTCTCCTGATACCAGGAGGAGAATCGGTCAGAATTTCCATACGTACCGAAAAATCTGTTCTCTACCAGCTTGGGCGGTTTGCCGATAGATGGCGCCACCAGCGCCGAATGACCGACTTTAAAAATTTGTATTTATTTAGTTTGTTTCTGTAAAAATGTATAGTATTACTCTACGTTAAGAGTACTAAACGATTAGCTTAACTCTTGTTCTATGAATTATAGAGGTCATAAAGATTTAGATATATATTCTATAGTATGGAAGGTAATTTAATTGAAATTGAGACAATTTTGAAACTACGAATATCTTGTTTTATTGTCATTTTACAAAATCAAAGTTACAAGAATTTAGACTACTTAAAGATTAATAACATTTATATTATTAGTGGAAGAAAGTACATAATTATAATTTTTGTACAAATTTTACACATTATCGGAACAGAATATGTTTCAATATCTTAGGTACACATTTAAACAATTTTATGTATAATTAGGAAAATTTCATTTCATGCAAATCTTACTATATAACAAAAATAATTTAAATATACTATGTTACGATTAAATAGGTTATATCACTATTTAAAGTTAATGCAGTCTTGCATTTTTATATAAATTAAAAGTCATTCAGTCTTTATCATACAATAAAGATCCTAGCATCATTTTTCCTCTCATGATACATTATGTTACACTGTATAAATAATAAAACAAATTGAATTTCCTAATTGATACAATTATACTATTTGATACTGTTCGGGTTCTACTTCGTTGATGTGCCGTAAAAAAAATGTGACCTTGACTTGTTCGACGTGACGACAAAGTTTCATGGCCAAACTTGTTCGTAGCTTCATGTGTTGCGTCAGAGACGGTAGATTCAACAGTAGGAACGCCAGTCCGTCAATTTCCTATAAAATAAAATAAGATAATGTAATACGTTTGTCTAATATAAGATTATTTCCACATTTTTCGTACATCTCACCTCTTGTTTAACTCGATACGCGATATCTTTGCAATCGTTCGTCTTTCTCAAATATCTGAACACGTCGTCCACGCTCCAAAACAAGGGATTCGAGTCCAATTTTCGCGTTTTCGGTCGTCTTTGTTTTTTCTGCATTCTCACATATTCAGCATCCGCTTCTGAGCAATCAGATTCGATGCTCGTATCCCAGTCTCGCTCTCTCTTACTTGCCCTGGTGACTGCACTACTTTGACTATATTTCGACGAATGTTTGTTATTACTCAAACTACTGGGGCTTCCTCTATCCTTCGTCTTTCTATCATTAAACGAACTTCCAGAGTCCTCCGAAGCATTACTCGACGGTGGCTCGGTTTTAAATTCATCCGACTTGTCCGATTTCTCCAAACCTTTTTGGATCATGATATCTATCTCAGAAAGTGGCGTTCTTCCGTCGAGGGTCTCTTCAATCCCTGACACATGTTTCGCTAAATCCAGCGATAAAAATGGCAAATCGTCCTCGTGGTCGTAATCGTCCTGAGTATCCTTCTCTCTGTTCGCCCATCTACCGCGCCTCCTCTTCCGTCTACCACCCCATGGCTTAGGTTTTTGCACCATGATACTCGTGTAACCCTTTGGCTTTCCCCTTCTTCCAGTACCTACCGATGCTGCTATAATAAAACATTACTCACAGTTAAGAGTGATCACAATACAATGAAACAATAACTTGAAAATATTATTACTTACTGAATTTGGCTTTAGACGTCTTATGACATCTATCTGGACATTCGTTTTCGGGTACGTACAAAGGTCCGAACAAGTTCGGGCATACCATCAACTTCTTGCAGATATTTCTGCAAAAGTCCGCCACCATATCGCCAGACGTGACGACTGCAACGCTAGCACGGTACGTATTGTTTTTGTGCTTCGCCTTTAAAACTTCCAAATGATATCCAGGATCTGGTTTCGAATCGCATTGCAGTACTTTCAATATTCGAGCGCTTCTGTATCCGACGGATACGATCATCGACAGAACTTCCCTCATCACTAGAATCACAGGACCAGGCCCCACTGCTTTTGGCAGTGTCGCCAGTTTCCCTTTGGAAATCATAGGCCCCGTGAAACAACGGTAATTGAAATATATCTTTGGACACCACAACGACGAACGAGGCTCTGATATCGGTATATCTAAAACGTTGCTCTTCTTTTCGTCTTTCGGGGGCGTTTGCAGCTTTTTACAAAGTTCCACGTAATCCTTCGGTGGTTTCAGCGGGTAGTGATTAGACTCGCACCATCCAACAGGAAATATTTGCAGGGAATGCATATCGACTATATGTTCTGGTCTCGTGTTTTCGTAATTATCTAACTTTAACCATAAGAGATTGTCAACAATTTTTGTAATATGCGCAGCGCATATAACATTCTCGCGCTCTGGATCGACTGCTTCTAACCGCATGCCGCACTCGAATCCAGCATCGGTAGCGCTTTGTCTTTCGGAAAATAATGTCTCTTCCGCAGCAATCGCCTGCGTCTCTGTTAAATATTCGTCCCAATCGAAGTCATCCCTTTTTGAGATCCATCCATTTGGTTGTGCTATTCTAAATAACGATTAAATGTTAATTGACGATGGTATAAATACTGTGGTAGAATATTATGAATATTAATAAGCTTACTTAATATCGTTTCGCTTTGCCCATCCAACTGGGAAGATGTACGGATGTGCTGATGTGCATAGCCAAGTATTTTTTTCTGTACTATTGTATATACACGACTCAATATCAATTCCTTCCATTGATTTATCATATGTGTCGATACGTACGAGGAAGTAAGTGTTATCGAATACTTTTATAACAGTCGCTGGGCATATTTTTGTTTGATGAATTGGACTTAAAGCTTCCAATTTCATGCCAACCTTGAACTCATGCTTCGAGTGTTCTACGTTATTGTTAAATAGTTCCTCTGGTAGGCTGTTGTTTTTTGGTATAGATTCTAATAAGTCTTTCCACTCTTCGTATGTATGCATGTCTACAATAGAACTGGGTGGCTCTAAAAACCAATTAGAATCTGATTTAGATGTGAATCCATACGGATGAAGATGTTCTGATGTACAGAACATCCAAAAGTCTTTATGCAATGAACCGGGAGTGTCATATCTTAGTAGAAGACGTCCACCTACATTTTCTATGATCTAAGAAATAAAATTGAGAATATTAATTTTAAAATAAAGTGAAATCAAATGAAAGTTATAAATGACTTATTAAAAGTTATTGGATGTTTCTTACCGTAGCTACCCATAATTTATAAGGATGTAGAGTATCACTAACTTCAACTTTCATCTCTGGTTTAATTCTTTCTGTCATGCTGAGACCATCCTGAGTAATACAAAATAAAAATTGAAAGATTAGATCATGAATTATAGTTGCAATACTTTTTTACAGGTTTACAACCAACCCCTGACAACATTTGCGGTGGAACAGTCCGTGCTGTTGTTAAAAATTCATCCAACTTTTCCATGCAGTTAGGTAATCGCTGAAGTACAATATCAGGTGGTTCTAACTTTTTATTATTTTTCACACACCAACCAAGTTCATGAGCAGCCTCCTTTGTGAGATTGAACCAAAATTCCAGTGATCTATCATCTCCACCAAAGTAACGTAACCGTAATAGAGGTCCGCATGCCATAACAATGGAGGCAATCCAATATTTGATGTTTTCCTCGTTTGCAGTCTTTGGAATTGGCACTTCAAGAGACATGCCAATTTCGATGCCGCTTTGAAGCGTGAGTTCCACATGTGGAAACATAATTTGAGGTACTTCCACGCTTTCTGTGACATCGAGGTAGTCTTGCCAAAAAAATCCATACTCTGAAAAATAAATCATAGACATGAATTTAATGAAATATAATTTTTAAAATAATGATCAATGCATTGAAGGTGTTTTAAAAGTGGGAGATGTAAATATTTTCATAAATAAATTTTTATTTTCAATTATCAAATGTATGTTGTATTACTCTAAAAATTAATTAATATACATTTTTTACCGAGTTTAGATTATTTTTATTTATTTAATATCAATCTACTAAGACACGATAAAAAAAAGAAAAAAAAAATCAGTGTCACGTTCTTTTAAATTGCATTTTCCACCACTATCGCAAATATATTATAACAAATCGTCGTTATCTCGATGTTACAAGATCAACGAAAATAAATAAATTATATCGCGCGTTTTATTCGTCGATTCCACAGAATTCCCGTTTATCATATTTATTATTACAATTACAAAATAAAACGATATCAACGAATGTACGTTGGTCACCTTTTATAATGGTATCACTGACACCGACATTCTATAGAGTTCAAAAACTTCAAAGGTTACCGAATAATAAAAATCATAAAATTTATGGCAAACAATCCGCGACGTTATATAATAATAAATCGTGCGAACCAGAGTCGATTTAATAAGGAGGATTATTAATAATTTAATCTTACCTCCTTCTTGCACTTTCTCTTGTGTTCGTCCCTCGCAAGGTTCCATGATTTCGTTATAATATTATAAGGCCTGCACACGAATTCATCGAAATCAATTTTGATTCGTCGTTAATCGACGAGAAATGGAAGGGACGTTATTAATCTGTCCGTGGTGTTTCGAACGATATCTCGGTGAATTTTACAACTCACCGTGGCGATGTGTGCGCTTATTTTTCGAAATTTCTGTGGTGCTTGGTCAATGAAAAATAGTTACCGTCGATCGTAGCTGCCCGTGCCGCTCTATACTGGTCTACCGTGCGTGTCTTCTCTCTCGCTCCCCCTATCGTTTCCTATCTCTCTCGTGCGGTACGTTTGGCGCACTCGTCCCGAATATCACAGCTACCTAACTTCGAATTGAGCAATATTATTTCGATTACCTTTGTATCGGAAAATTAAATAAACGTTTTCCGTTCGACAGCTATCGGTTAACGATTCGCGAATGAAAATTTTATCGTCGAAACTTTCTAGAACGTTACCGACCTCGTCTGCGAATAAACATTTCGTAATGGAACATTCATTTCACATTATTTCTGTTAAATAATTCTAGTTTCCCAAAGAGAGCTCGAAAGACAAAGAAAGAGTGCTTCTCTTCGCGTTTCTGCAAATACTTTCGAGTGACGACCTTCGATACCGATCGAAGCGAGAAAAATAGTATCACTCTTTTCACCCTTTCTAAGCTGAGATTTGAATCTGTTGTGTATACTGTAGATATCGAGATTCCTATAGTCGCGTTTGGTAACCGTCGTCTTCAGACGCCCATAGGCGTTCAACGCACATACTTGTATTAATCGATGCTTATCAGAGAATGGCGAAATTCCATTTGAACACTAAACGAAAACTTAGTATGACGATCTATCCTTTATGCATCTATTTCTTTGAACAGCTATCGCAAGCTTTACACGAGCTCTTATTTGTTCAACGTGAAATATTTCATTCTATAATTCAGATTGTAATTTTGTACTCAACGATGAATAATTCTTTTCGTCTTTTATTTCTCATTTTCTGACTATATTATGCTAATAATCGTCCAAAGCTCGAATTTGAGAAGCAAATGGAGTGAAACACTCTGATTGAAATTTACATATACAGACTACACATATTTCATCTATTACATTTTCTCACGAAATTACGTGTATCGCGTCGCGTTCGATTGTCGTACATCGTCTTTACAAAGTAAATCGATGTAAATCGTGTAAATTCGAAAATATAGTAGAATTTCCTGTATTTTATGTTCACGTAAATTCGTACCTTCGACTCTTCGTTACTTTATCTCCACACGTGTTCGTCGTGGCTATACACGAATCCACTCCACTATAGAAATGTAACTGCACTCGTTCGATGCACGAGTATCGTAAACCTCGTTATTATTCACCTGTACGTTGTAGCAATTTTAATGTCTCGCAATTTTATATTTCGCACGATGTCGTTATTCGGATAATGTTACATAAAAAAAAGATATTAGCAACGAATCCCGTGTATGTATTCGTTGGAAAATCGATAGAATAGGTGCAACACGTTTTTCATTCCATTTACAATTTTCATACGCATGCTGCTTACGCACGTATATACATTCGGATAGAGATTCGTTAAACGAAATAACATAGTAACGATTTCGTGATACGAAGAAATCGACAACATACGTTCAGAGAAACTGAAATACATGCACGTCGAGAGTAAAGTCTGTCGGAGTAAAAGAATTCTCGTCAAACGTAACGGTGTAAAAATAAATCTTATAAAAGAAGATTTACGCCTATCGTGTTTTCAACATTGCGAAAAACAGGATTAACTTAATTGAATCCAAGATTATAAAAACTATCGAATCGCTACACCTGCTGCTGTTACCAATATACCAAAGTCAAGAGATATGGACAAATCAATATTGATATTTTTTTATCGATTTTTATAAGAACGTCGTTTCTTCGAATAAAAACGAATGTTACATTTTGGACAAGGAACGATTCGTGTCTCTTTTCGAGAATATGGCAAATATCTCGGAAAATGAAAACACGAGCATTTTTTATCATTTTCTAGAGTTTTCCACCTTGATAGCAGACGACACATGCGTCGCTCTCTTCACTCGTAAACAGTTGTAAACATTGCATGAATTTTTTAAATCTATGTCACTGTCTCGACACGTAATTTGATTGTTACACTGTGAAATATGTTGTTTTTTGTACATAGATGCAAGTTCAATACTTGCTGGCATCATGGGAATATAATGAAGAAATTGAAACTGTTCGAATCCTGGTTTTCCTTGTTACATAACCTTAATAAAAGGTTCCCGTCGGTGCCTTGCAAACTGTTTTGCTCGAAAACGAGTTTATCCCCGACCGATGACAACGTTAAAAGGTATTTCAACCATCTGCTGGATGCGTATCAAAATAAAGGTCGGGGAAATGAAAGCTTTAAAGAGATTTTTAAGATAGTTATGATACCACAATTGCTGAATGAAAAACTGCAAATAACAGAGAATATCAAGACTTTGAGCGAGCTTGGTACGTTTTCAAGATTCTTTGTGTTATAAAGTTGCGGCTACAAAGTATTGGCACTTGTTTTTTAAAGTATATTTGTTACAATTCGGTTATAAGGAACTGGTTGTTACAAACTAGAAACTTTGTCTAATTCTACGCAGGTTGCAATTTCATTTTGTGCTTGCTTGATATATTAATTTAAGCAAGTAATTTTTTTAAAATGTTTTATCACTTGTAAAACTATAATCAGTGCCTACTATGTTGCTTACCTAAAAACTATGTAACTATACTTCAGAAACAAGTTTACATGAGTTTCTTATTTTAGGGAAGAAATGAAAATCATACGGTGATAAATGCAGTGAATAAGATAGATAATCAAGTATAGTTTATCGGTTTAAAACTGAATGTCTGAAGAAGATCTAATTTAACTATAATTTTGTCTACTACGCAAAGTCAAACATGAATGTGCATATGGCTTGAGTTATCGAATAGTAAGTTGTATGGATTTTTTCAATGGTCGAAACATCCATCACTTTGTAGCCAGACTTACAGTACACAAAATTATTCTTTCTCAATAATTTATACTCTAATTTGATCTTCAGTTGGCGAAAATGAGGAAATGAAGAACCTTGCTAGGGAGGAAGAATCAATGTACAAACAACAGTTACTAGAAATCGACGAAAAAATACTAGATACAATTTTACGGAATTTGGGCGGGGACAATTACGAGAATGTTGTTTTAGAGATAACACCGGGTGTAGGAGGTCAAGAGTCCATGCTGTTTGCTAAGGATTTATTCGATATGTATATTGGATACGTGACCTATTTAGGATTCGATTATGAAATTATGGATTTGGACGATAGCGAAAAAGGTGGTATAAGAAAAGGTGTTATGGTAATATCAAATCCAAAAGCTTTTCGGAAATTAGCGTATGAAGGTGGTGTACACAGGGTACAGAGAATACCAACGACAGACAACTCCGGTCGAGTGCATACGAGCACGGTTACAGTGGCAATTTTACCAGAACCTAAGAGTATAGACATTACTTTAAATGAGAAAGATTTGAGAATAGAAACGAAAAGAGCGTCTGGTGCTGGTGGACAGCATGTAAATACTACAGACTCTGCTATTAGAGTGGTTCACCTACCCACTGGCACAATTGTCACTTGTCAAATAGGCAGATCTCAAATAAAGAACAAAAACTGGGCGCTTATAAAGCTGAAAAGTATATTGTACGAACAGCAATTGAACAAGCAAACCTCGTTCATCGCCTCGTTACGCAAGAAGCAAATGGGACTGAAATTAAGAAACGAAAAAATTAGAACGTATAATTATAATCAAGATCGCGTAACAGATCATAGAATAGCAAATGGCACGATGCACTATTTAAAAGAGTTTCTGAAAGGTGGGCCAGCTCTGGAAGAACTCGAGGAGAGACTCCACCAGGATATGCAACAGAAGCTACTCTTAGAGATTATGCAGAAGGTGGAGAGAGAATTGAAATAACACCGAGTTCGTTCAACATTTGCCATTTTGATAAGAAACGATTTCATTTACATAGGCAAGCCATTGTACATAGCAAATTGGTAATAAACTCTGTGTAATACAAGTAACATTCATTCGTTTTTCGTTTCGAACCATTAGGAAACAAAATGTTCGTCGATAAATAAAGATAATTTATGTTGAGTAATCTTTGAGCATTTATTATTCTTCCTTTTGAAATGTTTTCTTAGCGATATCCGTAAGATGAAAATAAATCTTGAATTTTGAAAAGAATCGAAATATTACATTTTACTTTGTATTGTTACAAAAATAATGTGATAGTAAGACCCTATGCATTGAATTGGAATTTATTTTTTAATGTAAATTGTGGAATAGTTTCTAGGGAGGACCGTGGTCGAAAACGTTTAAAAGGGAAGAATAATGAATACTCGAAGTCTACTCGACAAGAGCGCCTTTCTGTTTTGCTCAAGGAAGCAGACAGTTAGCGAAGTAGAGAGTTCAGTTGTTTATTTGAAAAACATACAACAAGATTCATCTTTGTTTCGTTTGGTTTTAACCGCGTGTCCAAAGGCACACACCATCCTTGCAACTTCTTGTATAATACATTGATATACAAAATTAATATTCGTAATCTCTATAAATATCAAACGACATGTCTTATATCGGTTAATGTACAAAGCGCAAAAATGTTAATGTGTTCCATAGTATCGTGAACGTGCGCTCATGGTATACGCCCCTGCTTCAACCGTTCCCCATAATACCTTACCTACTTTGTCACCCAAAAAATTATACCAAACTCGCACTAGATGCCATTTAATTATTCTCGATGGTAATTTTATTCCGTTAACTTTTGCACCTCGTTAAATTTTCGGCTACACCACGTTTTCCACGAGTACCTGCTACATGAACCAAATGTCGCGTAAGTACAGTACCTTGTTCCCTTATTCGTGTCGGTGGCTCTGACCTAAGGATGCTCTACTAGATTTTGATTATATCGATTTTGTGATTGCATTCACGAATATTTCCCTAATCGCGAAAACGTAGACTTTCTAATCAACCTTCTGAGTCAGCATCCTGCTGTCGTCGCGACTTAAGCATCGTTAAACCCTAACGATCATGTAGTAACGATTAGTGCTGGGACTATTTTTATAATTAAATAATCGAATGCGTTCGACGAGTAGTCCCAGCCCTGGCAACGATCGCTAAAATGGACAGAGGCGAAGAGTAGGGACCAAAGCAAGGAGGAGAACAGGGACGTATACGGAACTGACGCCGCATTGCATTTCGGGCAGTAAGGTTGTTCTTTAGGACTAAACAGTTCTTTGAATCCTCGAATCGTCCACCGCAGAAGCCACGAACCCATGGACATCGACTTTAGATCAAGAATTCGAAGCAGAACACAGTATTTTCTCGGAACATGTTCGCCTGGGAAACGTTAAAATCTGTGGAAGTAGACCCATTCTCATCATTTTTTTTTTTTACGGAGATAATTGTCGTTAGAGGATGAAGGAAAGTTCGATTCCTAGCGTACAAATAGTAACGAACATCCTTCAAGAAAATACCGATGCATAATTCAACCCTTGTCCCGTGGAGCTCGATGATCCTCCAGACTTTTCAGATGCAGACCCTGCCTGCACCAAAGTACGCGCCGATAGAGGAGACATCACCAGGACCTTAATCACTCCTCTCTATGACAGCGTCGCTATATATACTAGAACATCTTGAAATCGCATTAACTATAAAAAGAAAACATCGAATATTTCGCAACGAATCGCCTCCAATTGTATGTACTTTGTCCCGTGAACAGCTTAATGACGTTGGCAAAGGTAATACGTTTTCACGAATCTCTCGAGAGCGCTCTCAGACATCCCATAGATGGGCAGAATTTTATTCGAATAATAAACGACGAACGAAACGTGCTCTCTATAATCTATACTCTTATAATTTATTCGAATGCCTATGGCGATTGGACAGTTGAAGATAATTTGTTCGGATAATCTTTTACTTATTTAACGTGAAACAAAGGCGTTAATTTTCATCTAAATGAGAATTTTGCCCATCTCTGCGCGACGAATTACAGCGAGAAACGCTTTCGATCTTAATTTCATAATATTCAACTTCGTCCGTCCTTGTTGACTCCGAATCAATGGAGTCGATTCGCGGAAATTAATTCTGACCAAGGACGATCCGTCTTGCGAGGACACAGGCGGTCGATAACAGAAGAAGGAGGTAGATATTCGATTCCACGTTCGAAGCCAAGCCGCAGAGATCTTTGATCTCGCTTTCCTTCGGATCGCTGCGAATGCAGGACTGAGGTTTCTTTCTCTTCAGGGGGTTGAGCGCCTTCTGGCAGACCAGAGAGTTGTTCTCGTACATCACTTCCTCCGGTATCACGCTCAATGGAGGCGATACCGTGTCGAAGCAGTCCGTGTTGACCACCACTAGAAGCATATTACTGAAATCCACTGGTTGCACGATGTAGGGCCTCAGGCATTCGTCGTTCACGTTGGATTCGATGTCGAACGATACGAAGGACGCGTTCCGCAGGTACAGGTACACCTAAAGGAAGAAATGGTGTAAAAATAAATAATTATCAATTCGTAACAAGCTCTTAAATAAATTGGTCCACTTTTGTATCATCGAATTTCTCAACGTGTTGAACTCTGTTTACCTCTTGATCGCAAGCTTCTGGCCTGGTTCGATTGATCAGAACCTTTTGGTCGAACAGTTTCTCGTCCTTGGCGTCCACCGGAGGCTTTTCTTCGCTCTCCTGGTAACTTTCGTGCATACCTTCGTCCTCGTTCGGGTAAGCGTACACCTCTGCGTACTCGGAGTTCCAAATTCCTGCTCTGGCCCAAGCCCAGACCGCTTGCCCGACGAGCCACGAGATCAACTTCTGTGCGCTTCTCCATGGCTAAAAACAACGAGGTACAAACAGAACGCGATTGGCGCTAAAAACTGTTTTTAAAAATTAATTCTGGAAGAAATCATTTGACCGATTACCGTGAGCAGTATGCTTCCATCGTTAGTGGTATGCGTTCTTTTGAAGCAGACCGCCTGGTAATCGTATATCCTGATCCTCTCGAAGACGCTCTCCTTCACGAGATTGGACATGATCGGTCCTCTGATTTCGCCAAAGAACTTCCCTGCGTCGGATTCGTCCTCCGCTGCGATCACGTATCCGTTGTTGTCGATCAAGTAGCAAGCCCAGTTCTCTGCGCCGCAATGCGAGTGACAATTCCCTAAACCTTCGCAGCTGAACGTGATGTTCTGGAAGAGCCCTTGAAGAGCGGTGTGCTGGAACTGAAAGCCTACCACCGCCGCTGGCGCCTTTCCTTTTGAAGATTCTGCAGAGCGTACGGATCATTTCAGTGATACAGCGCAAATGGTTAATAAGTTTTTGCTACGAGTAGTAGTAATTATACCAATAAAAATGGCGTGACTGGCGGTGACGAGGGTGGTGTTGTCGGCACCCTCCTCGTCGAGTGGCACGGAGAAGACAAAGTTCTCACGGTGGATATAGTGCTGCTCGACGGCGCGCTTGTACCATACTTCGTCTATGGCTCTCGGGTAGATCTTGCTGAAGTGGTCTTCTGAAAGGGTGGCGTTCTCGTCCAGCAAGAAGTCCTGCCATCTTGTCAGGCCACTGTGAGTGGCCATGAAGGCGAGCGTCACGCCGAAACGTTGTTGGAACTCTTTCCTACAAGAAGCAAAGCGTTAGACTTCGTGGTCGAAGAAGACTCCTCCTCAAAGTAGACCTTTGAGCTTTTACTAATATACTGCGCTATTGCGTTACCGAGGAGCTTCGATAACTCGCTCGCGACGTTGGGGCTACCACTGAAGAACGTTTCGTTCAGTTTGGTTCAGAAAACCGGGAAGGTTACAAATAAAAGCGTTGCGAGCGAGTGTATCGCGACTAATGGATAGTTAAGGCGAATTCAATTGATCCTCCAGCTGTCATCGTCCCTCTTCGAGGTCCCGGTCCTGACAGACGACCTCCATTCTTGGTGGATCCGTGATCTACCACCGATTAAGAATCGCGAAAGGAACAACAAAGGGGTAAAATATAAATACATAAATCGTTGTCGAAAACCAAATAAATGTTCAAAAAGGGTGTGACTTCAAAGTTGAGAAACTGAACGACTCAACGTTAAGTGGGACACTTAGATTGAAATGAAAATAGTGGGAGGAAAGCGAGTACAGTTAAAAGAAGCGACAAGAACGAACGATCGAGCGTAATCGTTAGTCTCTAGAATGAAAACGTAAGGTGCGATGTGATGGACGTTACCTTGGCAGCAGATTCATCAGCCTAGCTAAAGGTCTGCATTGCGTCAAAGTGGTAAATATTAGTAAAAAAGAAACAGGTCCGTTTCGTTATCCTGACGGAAGAGAGAGAGAGAGAGAGAGTAAGAGAACGGAAATAAGAGAACGTATTGTGCACCGAACGAAAAGAAAAATGTACAGCGAAACGATACACTAAAACGGGCCCGATGCAGCCATTATGGTACAGTGGCATGCGTCTTCTGACATTTTATGGTGGAGTCAACGAAAGTTATTTACAGGCTCATACAGTTATCACAGTTTGATTCTTCATCGTAATCGAGTATGTTACAAGTGTTCAAGGCTGTACATCTAGGAATCTATCCCACCGTTCGGGCCTATTCTTTCATTGCTCCATCACAATTGTCCACGCTTTATAATGTTAATCGCACTATCAAATTTTAATTTCGATTTCAATATCTATAAAAGAAGGAAAGATATCCTAGCCCTTTAGCGACCTTTTCCGTACTAATTCGAACACGTGCTCGCGTTTCAAGGACGTTTTATGGCGATGCTCACCCTTTTTCCTCGCGCGTGGTGCTGAGGTTTGCAAACCACTCGGTTACCTTTGCGTCGAACACCAGACTCAGCAGAAGCTCTCTGTCGCAGTAGTAAGAGTCTTTGTCCGCTTTGTATGGCGTGGCTGTTGGAACAGAGCGTTCATCAGTGGTCGTACATTTATCTATTTATTTTATTTAACGTCTTTATCGGGTATGACCGAGTAAGAAAAATAACTGATGTCTGCATCAACAATGTTAAATATTAACAATGAAATATTAGGTTGTCCCAAATGTATCTTTCGTGACTTGCACTCATTTATTTTGTGTGGCAGTGTTTATACAATGGATCGTACCCAATTCAATAATTGAACATTAGACATAAAGTATTGCTGTATTACTTATTAACGAAATGGAAGAAACTTTTGGGACAACCTGATACATACTTCATACTGTACAGCTTCGTACAGGACACCCTGTATAGCAGAGAACTAACATTGAATACGTCGCATGACACGACCCTAACTCCAGCGATTGATGCATCAAAATTGGCTTAAATGGAAATAACACCTACGCTTTGATTTGCGGTGAGTGTCGTTACCGGAACTCGTGGCCGAGTATTCTGGCGGCTGGGACGGTTGTTTCATGTCGTTCCATTTCCAACCCGGCTGTCGAGTACGCTCCAGGAAATGCAGGAGCTGCGCCTCCGAGGAATTGAACGAATGCTCGTCCTCGTAGTGGTATCTGCGTCAAAGGCGTCGTTATCGATTTAGTTCATAAATTTAACGCGCTCTCAGTGATCGACATACGAAAATTGACGGGACTTATTAGTCCCGCCAGTAAATAAAGGGTTAAAGAGGTTAAAGCATATAGGTAAATTGCAAAGAGGTCACGAGCCGGAACGATTCCACTTACTTGCAGTACAACCAATGGGGATGCACCCGCCAGTTCGTGCCAGAGAAATAATCGGACACGTTCTTGCCTGCAACAGACTATCTCGTTAGAATACTAGAGATTGCTGGAACGTTGGTATAGCTGAACAAGCTTAGTCCGATCTCTGATTCATTTGATATCGATTAAAAAGAAATAAGGAAGGACGAGATCCAAAAATTTCACTTGTCGAACTCTACATGTACGATACGATAAATGATAAATGCATTCGAAGAGAATTCCGATGTTTATTCAGCATCTAGGAACTCGGTAGCTAAGATTCGGAATGGTCACGAATCGCACGTTTCATTGGAACACCTACCACTAACGTGAACACGATGTATTTCCTCGGTAGCGTGAACGCGATGACTTCCGTTGTGATCATGTTCCGGCAGACTGACCACCACCGTGAACGGCGTGTTTGGTATGCCGGTGTAGTCATACTTCCTCTTCACTCTTCCCACACGTTTCTACGGAGCAGAGGTAATCAGGTGAACGTTTCAACGTAGAAATTTAATCATCCGCGGACGATTACGAGATCACTCACCATGTCATCGTAATGGTACTTTGTGTGAAGCGTCACGCTACCGTTTGCCTGATTGACCACGTCATTTCGAAGCTGCAAGAAGAACTTGGTTTAGTATGGAGAACGGTAACATTATCGTAGGTAAACGAAACGAAAAAACGAAAACTAAGGCACGGGGGGATTCGAACGCACGATCCTCGGATCCGCGGTCGACCACTTACGCGACTAATTACTACTACGATACTACACTGTTAAAGAATAATAATTTCTACGAAGTAAATGTCGGAATATTATTATACGTAAACCGCGGATGTTAATACAAATACATATTTGTACAGTTTCAAAGAATCGCATTTTATATATATTTTTTCCAGTCACGCGCATCCTCCCACATTTTCAGTTGCCATAAATGCGTACGCATCCGCGGTGTAATTATATGTTTACCATGATGATTCCATCGTCGAACTCCCTTGGTCCTCTGTCCTGATCCATCAGCTCGACCTCCGCCATGTCGACGCTGTTGTACGCTGGTTTCAGGATTCCCTGAAACTGTAATTTCGAATATTGTTAAAAAAAATTATTCTCGTGTCGTAGGAGGGTCGTTTAAAAAACGTATGACACTAACCACTGGTCGAAGGTCGGGATGAATCAGGATGAAACCGTTGTTGGTCACGATGAACGCGTATCCGTTAACGCCGAGCTGTTGTCAAGAAGCAAAAGAAAGGAACAATGAGCCAGATAAGTAACTGTAACATCTAACGAGCGATTTCTAACAGTAACGGAAAGAAGAAGAAAGAGATCGGCTCACCCGATGGGGCATCATGAGCTTCTGTATCTCTCGTATCGGAACGTCCGTGCCAGCGACGCCTAGGAGATCGGCGATCCGTGTCTGCGCAAAGAATCATCGTCGCGTTTTAACGAAATTCCGTAATCGTGGCTATGGGGGGGGGGGGGTTCGTGTATAGAAATCAATTACGTAATCATCATCATCCCAAGTCGCATAACCATAAGCGTATCTACCTTCTCCAATAAACGCTATCACAATGAATTCGTCTAAAGACACACTGTTCTAGTATTAGAAACAAAACAAAAATAAAATGACGGTATTTACTAAAGAAACGATAACGATAACGATGATGATGATGATAATAATAATAATAATAATAATAATCATAAACGTATTCTTTGACGTAAGACTGGACGTGTATAAACTAGCTCAACTACGTTCTCAATAATAACGATAATAATAATAACAATAATAATAATAATAGTAACGATACACAATTAAGAACAATTAATATCTGACGCAGGCTATCCTAAGTGTTAATAATCAAATCACAATTGGCCGCGCCGTTTATCGTTCAACCCAACGTCCCGTTCATTCTCTGCGAATCGCCGTTTTCTTCTTCGTGGACCGGACGTAAACAGAGAAAGAATATGACAGTAACGGAACGAAGAGAAAGAGGACGAACTGTTCGTGTTTAATCGAAAATATTTTGGGAAATTGCGCACGATATTATCGTACGTTGTTATAAATGATCACGGATTCGCAGAAAACGGAAGTGCCGTCGGGAACGGCGTCCGACCGAACTCTACTGTTTTACTCGACTAACCAAATCTAGCACTCAAAAAAACTTCAAGTCGTACTGTGTGCACGCGTGTGCTCAGTACATTCCTTATACCCAACGGGATATTCTCTCTCATGTTTCAGAGCATGTATATATATATATATGTATGTGTATATATATATATATATATATATATATATATATATATATATGTAGTCACTGCAGAACCATAGTTCTTCTACGAGTCAACGATAATAATGATAATAATGATAATAATAATAATAATAATAATAATAATATTAAGAGGAGGTATCGCCGTTCGCAATCCAACAGGCGGACAGGATAATCCATGTTTCTACTCGTCTCGAACAGGGCACAGGGTAGACTAAAGTACCTAAACCTACCTAATGATTAAACTAAGTCCATTACCAGCGTTAGACAAAATTAAGATACCAGAGAGACGAACGTGTACCTAAATGGAATGAATGTTCGTCGCGCGGCGTCGATCTCGTCTCTGGGATTCCCGAATCAGTATATTCTACCCGCCATTTAAATTTCATTCGTTTCGAGCATGCTTCGTTGCAACATTTTCAAACCCTGTTCGTGAATCCCCTTTGGCGTACACAAAATGACCGATCTAAACGAATGGTAAACCCTGAGTGAAAGGAAGAGAAGAGTCCGATACCAGATCTTCTTAAAAAGAATATCCATAGACGAAGATGTAATTTTTCTTTCGAAGGAATACTTGCGTTTTCGCCTACAAATACTCGTTACAAAGGCACAAGGACTCTTCTAATCGTTTTAAGAAGATCTACAGCTCGATGCATCGGTGAATGTACGAACTCTCCCATGAACGCACCGGTTCAGTCCCGAGCTTTAGCATTTATGGAGACTTGGCCAATATTTGCTATACCAATATTCGGTTTCGATAACGATTTCAACTCGACGTTCTCCCCGGAATATTGGATCCGGTCCGATCGATACTACGATCGATCCATTCTTCGACGCCCGCCGATCGTTCCCTCACTGTCCGCGCTGTCGGAGGCCCAGACACGCGTGAACGAGCCGCGCGAATACAAAAGGCGAAAGGGTTACGGGGCTCTATGCATTGGAACAACGTTGCTTGTGTTTTTTGTTTTTTTTTTTTTTTTTTTTTGTTTGTTTGCTGCCAACCTCTCTTGTCTCTGTCACCCAGTACGCCTCGTTCACCAGCACCTGCCTTGTGATGTTCTGTGGACAAACATGAACTTAAAACCAGGGGAAACTCCGCTCGCGTCAAGGGGGCTGGGGTGGTTTGGCTATCGACTAACCGCGACTCTTCGACGTTATGTATCGACGGGATGAAGGATCAGTCCTGAGAGTGATCGGAAGCGATGCAATCAGTGATACGATTCTCTGTTAACTTCTGATTATCTGACTGATTTTTTTCTCTCGCACGATACACAAGCTCGAGGTAGCCGTAGTTAACGCACGGTTGAGTCTCGTCAATCGATCGTGGGGGGCATTGGGGGGGGGCGGGGGGGGGGGGAGGAGCGGCGGCAGCGGCGGCTGTGAGAAAGGGCCGTGTCGCATGGGAATAACGATGATTATGATAAGTGCGTGCTCGAGTGGCTTAATAACGACGGGACCGTTAATACGATTCCGAAGGCGTGCACCAGAGAGGTCGCGAGGCGACGCGGAGTCTACGTGCGTTATCAAACGGTCGATTACCTTGATCGTTCGTTTCGTAATACCTCTGACACTCAATTACACGTGTATCTTGTTGGAATAATTATTTCTAGAAAGGGACGAACGGTAATCCAACAAACACGACGGTAGAGGACGTCGCTGTTTATCGTTTATAATACTTTTCTGGACGCTGTTGGCTATCGTTTTTCGAAGGACCAACCTGGTGGTCCTGTACCATAATTTTCGATTTAAATAGTTGAAATATCAGCGAACAGAACTTTTGTATAATTTAATGTTTAGTTTAACCGTTGAATAACGAATCCTTTTTTTAGTTCTCACTTCTGACGTCCGTGAATTAGTCTAAACGAGCGTTCCAATTTTCATAAGTATCTTGAACGTCTTCACAGCTATCGAGTAGTACATAAGAAAACGACTGAATGAGACGGACAGCTTGACAAAGTGAATCAATTAGGAGATTCAAATGTAATTTACGCATCTACCAAGTTCGTTTCGGGGCAGAAACGGTCAAGGATTCAAGAACAGTTACAATAGTTCCCTAACGGAATTAGATTGTCTCGGTTCGATTGTACCAGAAAAAGGAAAATCTTACCGCGTTATTGCGTCGGTCAAACACCGGCATGCTAACCGAGGTCATCAGCTTATACTCTTGAAGATCGCTGCTCTGGTCGTGCGACTTCTTCTGCTTCTTCACGAACCTGCGATCGCGCTCCGAAGTGTTGAACAGCTTCTTTCTTCTGTGGAGCCTGAGGAACCTCTCCTCCTGTTCCTCGCTTTCGCGTTGCTCCCAGAGCCAATCGGTCATCTTGGGGTCCGTGATGTCGGCGTAGACGGGGGTCCAGATCGTTGGATGGTCCGTGCGACCCAGTACCAACGGTCGTGCCATCACGGGAACGTACTTGAGCACCTGAAGATAGCGATTAGAAAGATTAGACAGAAGATTGACAATTACGATCGAAAAATTGGTATCAAGTTCCTCGGGGTCAGAAGTCAAGATAGATCCCGGTTTACCTGTTCTCTGACTTCAGCCAATGTGCAAAGATGAACAAAATATCCTCTGTTCGCGCAAGCCATCCATTGCACCTCCCTGACGTCCGCCACTTCCCTGCCAATCAGATAAGTGAACATTCTGACGGGCATGTCCGCTCTATACGGTTCGTCGGGATTGTCCTTCCAGTTATAAGTCTCGAAGATGTCTTTATAGTTGTACGGCACGCCGTCCGTTATCAGCATGATCGCCTGGTTGCAAAGGGCCCCTTTCTTCTCCATTCGATAGCTCTCGAGCAGCTCGAAGGCCGTGGTCAAGGCCAGCGAGAAATTCGCGATCTTCTCCGTGTTCAGATTCGATATGGCTCTCTTCAGCTCCCTGACGTTTGCTAAATTCGCTTGGACCAAGGTATCGTTGAAGCATGGAACCACCTTGAAATAAAATCATGGTTAATAGAAAGCGTAAGCGTGCCTTATCTTCAACAGCGATGGGCAAACCCGTACGCTTCGAATAAATCTGAAGTTTGTCGACATGTTTATCTCATTTCCTTCTTTGGAAAATGTTCGAAAGCCTTCGTAGCCTAGGGTTTCGGCCATCACTGGTCTTCAGCAATTATATTGTCTCTGCCAACCAATGGCTACCTAAACCTAATCGCAATCGTTGCGCTTCTCGCTAATTACCTCCTTGGTGACATTGGAGAACGTGATGATGTTGACGAAGTCGTTGTTCCCTAGAGTGTCTAGGATGTTGTTAACCACGTGCCTAGCGATTTCCCTGCGTATGCCGGTCATGCTGCCCGACGTGTCGATCAGGATGAGGATGTCCTTCGGGCTGGTGGCTGCCTCGATGTACCAGCTTCTGGTCCTGCAGTCGAACAGGTCGACCGTCTCCTCCATGTACCAGTTCATCGCCGGGTACTGTCTCATGAATCCCGTCGCGCTGCCGAAGTACTGCCAGGACAGGGACGGGTCCTGTTCGTAGTTGTTGATGAAGGTCTTGTCCAGCTCCTCGGACCACTTGATCGCCCTGATCACGGGCGTGGCTCTCTCGTAAACGTTCGTTGGAACGTGGACGGCGGACATGTTCAGGTTCACCTCGCCTCCGAAGTGGTAGCTGTTCTTCACGTCGATGGTGTTGTTCTTTGCGTTGATGAATTTGAACGAATCCGGGGGCGTGACGTCCGGAGCTGATAACGCCGACGTTTCTGCTACGTCCATGATCCTCTGGAAGAGGAAGGAGAGTTAGAAACCACGATGAAATTTACAATATATATGAGGATCCCGGTACGCGCGTAGATACGAATTGTAAAGATTGATTAAAATCGAGCGGGTACCTTGATGGCTGATATTTTCGACTCCATCATAGCCTTGATGTCCTTGGCGATCTCGTGAACCAAGGCGTTACCATCACGTATCGTCACCGACGCCTGCTTGTACCTCTCCTGGAACTTCTCCACGTTGGTCACGTACTTGGCCAGCTGGGACAGCTCGAAACCCAATTTGTGCGCCCATGCTTTTGCTCTGTGCGTGAAACAATAAGCGACCTCGTTAGTTAGTCTCTGGGTCCCTTTTAAATTTCTTTAAATCGCTCCGAACGTTCCACAGTGGTCCGTGCTCGGGTCTTCCCGCGCGCGAAACTTCGAGACGGAGCATTCGAGACGGAGCATTCGAGACGGAGAAGGGAAAACCACCGGAGGAAGGTTTGATGTAGGTCGAGGGAGTAAACACGTTCGAAACGTGACGTAGAGTTTGACGAACAATGTACACGCAGCGCGATACGCCACGGATAGATTGAAGGACTATTAGGTTGTAATTCTTTAAATAGAATTCTTCTAATACCACGAGACCGGAAATAGTGTAATTCTGTTTTCCCTGCTGAGAGATCGAGTCTAACCGTGTTTACTTTACCTTTGAAATCTGTACCATAGATTTGTTCTTACTATTTATATCGCTATTATAATTTCCATATTACATCTACAGCATATAGCTATGCCTCCTTTGTTAAATGTACGCTTATTTTTAGCCCTACACGATATTTCCTTTTCACTCGATACTCCATTATACAGTGCGTTCGGCTCTGATGCAACGAGGAAATATTACAACCGTTTAATGCTCTTAAGAGATACCAGCCGCGGCAAACATGAATCGGAATTCTTAAAAATAATTAACGTGTCACCTAGTCGAACGGCTCAACCACTCGCGAAACGTTCGAAGCCGAAGACTCGCTTATCGTTCATTCGAATACACATGGTCCCCGGAAACTCGCCTACGATCTATTCAATTCTGAAAGATGACCTAAAATTGCAAAACTCAACAAAGACACGAGTCACGCGGAACGTGTTACATCGTGTATCGGCCACGTTTTCGCCGTCCCCCCACCCTCTGCCGAGGGTGGGCGCGTGTCGATAACACTCGTGTCACCTGGACCAGTAAATAAACCCGATTACCTGTCCAACCGTAGCGTGGCACGGATAGTAAATAAAGGAAACACGTTCGCGAGGTCCGTTTGAACGGTAAACCCGTGATTTGAATAAACGGTCCGTGACGAAACGAGGACTTACGTGTTGTACGATATGCCGTCACCGCGGTCGGGTGCCTCGATCAGGATCAGGACGACGACGGCGTACAGGAAACGAAGCCTCATGACTGTCGTCCAAGACGGCGCTCCGCTGTTTACGCGAGGACACGGTAAACAAAACTGGTGCCGAGAGGAGGCTCGCGTCTGACATTAAGGATTCTCTCGGCCGGCCACGGTGCTCGTCGTCGTCGACGTCGCCGTGCAGTGCGCGCACCGTCCGACCACGGCCGTCAGTTACCCCGAGCTTATCGATCCACGCGACTGCGGAGCTTGCGCGCAGAGATGAGCAGAATTTCGTTCGAACGCAGTGGCGTATTATCCTATCGGCAAACAAAACCCTCGATCGACGGGTTAACTAAAAATTAAATTAATGGTGGATGCAGCGTGAACATTAAGCCGACCCTAGTTTCGTACAATTAATTTCTAATAAAGAAACGAATAATTTTTGTTAATTATAATGTGTTTAATATGCGATTGAACTTTCTATCTGATCCCATCAATTGTTTCGCTTGAATAAAAAACCTCGACACTGCCCGCGCACAAAGTCTGCGAGACGCGGCGAGCGTCTCGACAACGCGTCGCCGCTCGTAAGCGTCCGCTGAAAATTGATAGTAATGTTTCCCTCCGAATGTCGGTCCCAGCCCCTCCTCTATCCTCGCCTAGCTTGCTCTGTTTCCGTCGGTTTTTCGTTTAGCTGGTTCGTTGGCATAGTTCACAGGGGGCTGGCTCGGGAGGAATCGCGAGCTTGTAGCCTCCGAGGGTATTTTTACAGGTCTGGTTCACTGGAACGAAGAAAACGCCGAAGAAACTCTCGACTCTCGCGTTCTCTTGGAGTTTTTATTGCTGGAAGAGATTATTCGTACCGTTAATGAGAAGAAATCGTTTTGGCGTAATGATTGATTTTGTGTAACGTTGCTTGAGCGAGGAGAGGTCTGCGTACAGAGTTATTAGAGTAATTAGGAACTTACGTGACAAGTCGTGAATGTTGTTTAATGCTTGGATGTAGGACTTGACAGCTTCAAAATTTCAGGATAATTTAATTTTCTTGGCACGGGACGATGTTCCTGTTGAAAAAATGGAGTCCTACGATGACTGCGGAGTTTCCGGCGCTAAAAAATTAATTGCATCCTAATACTCTTACGTTTCCAAGATATATATGTATTGTATTAATAGTTGAAGAATAATGTCACTTTTTCTTTTTACGAGGTACCTGATGTCCAGCGAAGTCCCAACGTTCCTGAGCAATTTATTCTTACTTTTATATTTGGACAGATATTTTCCTGGAGTTTCTTGTAGCTAGGAGTAGAAAACGAGGGTGTTGTAATTTAATTAAGTCGTAGGAAGAGTTACACTCCAAATAACTGAGAAGGAGGGTAGCGGAATATTTTCTGGGGCAACCTCCTTACGCCCCCATCAACAGACCTCGCGACGCCGGCACGAAATCGTATCCCGCATCGATGGAAGGACATTCCGTCAGGCTTTATGTCCTTTTTTCCTCGAGGGTGCGATCGATTTGCTTTCGGATATCTTTGGTCCGCAATAAAGAACAGGGTTACGCTTATAAAACGCCAAGGAGACGATCCTACAACTACTCGTCTAATGGTTATTAAATTCACGCTGTAGCTCGAGGTAGTTGTTTCGAGATTGTTCAAAAATATAATAGAAAACTTTTGTAAAAGTACTGTCTCACTTCTTATTCGTAAAATAAATATTCGTTAAATAAATCCAGGGAACAACTACCGCAAGCGAACGTGCACGCCTGCTCGTATTTACGTGCATTCTGAAACAGGATTGTTTGTCTGCAACGTTTTACAAGGAGGCTAAAGTTTGCGACAGGAGCTGACGTTTCCAGAACAATGCTCCTGGAAAGAATGGAAACTTGTCACGGGAGCGGGACGTGTGTCCCAGCGAAAGCGACGAAAGTTTGGATCCATAAACAACTCGGATCTTCGTGGAACTTTTTAAAGATTCCTCGCAGGTTACGTGGCGTAAATGAGTCGCCGAAGTGGATTGGAAAATACGCCGAGTCTCTGGAGCCCGTGCTGTTTACACGGCGTATTGTGTGACACGAACGTCGACAAAGGAAGAGTCCAGCGCAGCACGCGAACGTTTACGCCCGAAGAAAAGATATATCAGTTGTTTTATCATCAGAGAGCGATAGCTTGCTCTTGTTTCTGGAAGCGTATCTTCTTTATTCTTATAATAAATTCACAATCCTCCATAAGTTCTTGCGGTTGGTCATTGTTTGGGTGAGACATTAAAAAGAGCCACGCTGCTCGCAACAATTAGGAAGCTTGTTTATTCCGAATAAACCTAGAAATAAGTACTCGAATAATTTCGATACGAGATCCCTTGATCGAGGTATATCGAATAAGTCAGTTCCCCAGTTTGTCCCAATTATTTCGAGCGGCGTATTCCACGGTGCGTGGTTCTCGTCGTTAATTGAACGACCGATAATTCTTCCCTCGGACAGTCACACAAATGTACATAAAATTTTAGCGATAACAGCGGAGAACAGTAATAAAGACACGGCGAGTCCCGACGCGCCACCGCACTCGTCGATTTCGTGCTCCAACGGATGCTCCGTAAAACAACCCTCCAGGCGCCTCCTTTTAAGGTCATTCAGCGGAAGTTTATGGCACGGCGCACTCCCTGTACCGTTCGTGTACTCCAGCGGCGAAATGATCACTGGCGTCACCTCTAATCTTTTGTAACAGGTCGGGTACATCGCGTCGACGACCACCAGCAGCAGGTTCGTGTACGGTACCTGTTAATCATTCGGTTCTTCCGTTAATTCGAGTCAAAAACGAATAACGTTTATTGAATTACATGCTTTATTATATCATAGATTAGTGACATGCTAGGTGTGTGTAGTGCCACCTATTGAAAGAATAGGAAATTCTTGCCCTTGCCACGTGCGATATGTATAAAATTTATTTCTTTACTTTGCTCGTATATTCTTTCATAATTATATTGTTTGCTTCTTGTATCTTCAATTAACATATATACGGTTTGATAAGCGTATGCCGAGTGACAAAAATCTCAAAAATTAACTTTGAAAACATTCTCGCGATTTTGCGCGTCTTAAGTGTCGGAAGGTCCATCTATCGAAGAAAATATTAAACCGAATGCACTCGCATAATCTACGTTTTAATCCATTCAGACCTCCACGAAGAGCCCATCGAGCCTCGCGACTGATAAAAGCACTCTCGGTCGCAATTGTACCAGCTTCCGCAGCGATGCGACGATTCCCTGGCGCACCTTGGGGCTCAGGAACTCGTTCAATTAGACCAGGAAATTTCAAAGTTGCAATTTTCTCCGCGCTCTTCGAGAACGTCCAAAGATACCACGGGCGTCTTTGGCTTACTAGAAAAACTTGAAGGGTTAGTTTGCGGCTGAGCACAGGGAATACAGTATAAGCTAGATAAGTTTACAATGGTATGTTTACAATCAGGAGAGTTGTTAAGAAATCATGGTTCCGTATGAGATGACAACTTGATTCAGGACTGTAGACACGGTATACTGACCCTACGCGCATAGAACGGCCTCGAGCAAAAGGTCTCCGTCTGATTGGTGATACCCTGGTCCGCGATCGTGTAATTCATCATGTAAAGGGTCCTCTTCTGGTCGCAAGGATAATGGTAGAGATAGAGTTTCGGCGGCGGCGGTGGCTCCGGTTTGTCCTCGTCGAAGTGCATTTTGGCCAGACCGCCTGGCAAGTTGACGAACTGGGTCGTGAACCACGTCACACGCAGCAGAAACCAGAGCAACAATTTCCAGACGTACATCAGAGGGTCCGTCAGAGTGCTGGCCGCGCCCTGGACACGCTGAAACAGTTTCGTTCCCAGAGAAAATGTTTTCGCGCCCCGGAGGTGGAAGAACACTGGCCCGTTTCCGCCAGAGTTTCTGATTTCGTTTGCGAAACATCTCGCGGCAAGTTGGCGACCCGATAAACTTTTTTATCTCCTTCTCGAACGAACTTCGCAGAAGTTTAGATATTTTTTAAGGGAGCCTGGCGGCATCTTTGATACTACGGAATATTAAAATCGAGACTGTAGACGACCATCATTTATTCACCAACATTTTTCTGAAGCGAAAAATATGGCTTTGATTCCATACACTTACAACTTCGTCGCACCAGCCTTGATAATCGTAAATCTCGACTGGGTTGAAGAGACCTTGGCCCACCATGGAGTTCATCACAGCCCCTTCCTGCGTTCCCATGAACTGACCGGTGTCGTTGTGCGCCTCGGATATCACCACGTAACCGTTTTGATCGAGCAAATAGCAGTCCATCCACACGTGAGAACAGTTCATGGATGGATTTTCTGGGTCCGATGTCAAGTCAATGAATCTCTCGTAAAAATCCCACATGGGCATTTGGAAGCCCACCACGGCGGCCGGTGCTGTTTTGCCACCGTCTCTTGGGAATATTCCCATGGAGGCGGTGACTATTGCGTTCGGGCCTGCTTCCCAGGGAACTAAAATAATTGCGATATATAACAAAAATCTTAAGACACTTAACTGTACTAAAAATGTCTCAAATGTATACGATACCTGTCACGGATATACTGTTTGGATCTATATTATTCTGAAAAATAGCGCCCTTGTACCAAGGCTCGTTCACCGCCCTCCTATGAAGATCGCCAAAAACAATGCCATCGTCGTCTTCGGGCAGTTTGTTCGTGTCCAAATCATGCCACCTCGTCAGGCCGCTCTGCGTGGCGACGAATCTCAAGAATATCCCATACATCTCGGCTAAATGTCGCGCTCGTTGGCCCTCCAATACGAAATCGTTATTGAAGCTCGCGTTCGTAGCCTTCGCGTCGAAGACCAATAGCTGCATCAGCTCTTTGTTGCAATAATAGTCGTCGTGCGACATGGTCTGTCTACCGCAGTCAGGTTCGTCGACGAGGTCGTCGTCGCTGATCGGGTAGGAGGCGTACTGCTCCGACCAACGCCAGTCCGGCTTGTTCAACAGATCCAGGAAGTGTCTCAGCTCGTCCTCCGAGCTATCGAACTCGTGACCTTCCAGATAGTGGTAGCGACAGTACACCCAGCCCGGATGCACTCTCCAGCGATCGCCCACGAAGAAATCGGAGATCTTCACGTTCATGTTCTGGTTCCTGCGGATTTCGTCTCCGACCTTGGCGAGGATATGGAAAACGAAGAGAAGATTAAGTTGGGGCTCCTATGGCGAATAAGTCGAATTCAGGAAGATGCGTAATTCGTTTCGGTGGGATACTTGAACTATGTCAGAAAGCAAGTTTTGTTGAAGGGTTAGACTACCATGGACAGAAGTAAGTTAAGGTTTGAATATTAAGAATAGAAGTAGGTTGATATTTGCCTACTGAATTAACATTTGATTTCTGAGCTGAAAAGTAGGTCAACGTTTGAGTATCAAGAATAGAAGTAGGTTAACATTCGCCACCTAAATTAACATTTGATTACTAATCCCACAGAAGTAGGTTAACGAACTTGAGGCTAACGAATCTATTGTTTCCCTCGAACACAGAGATCCCAGAGTGGCTCCCGTCGACGTAAAACAACAATGGCCACGAGGAATCTCGCGTCTCGATACTCGGCGTAGGCTGCACGCGACTCTCAATGTTTACCAGCTCAGGTCGACGGTTTACGTCTGAAAGTTTATGCAGCGTGCAATCTCTAGAACGCACAGTCGCCGGCGAGAGGAAGGATTACCCGCGCCTCTTCCTGAAATTCTGGGACTCCATAAACCCGTTGTGTGTACGCGCGATACTCGACGCGGATTACCTTGATCCAAGTTGTGCCGTAGTTTGATATGGCGACCGCAACACCGAAAGGCGTCCCGGGCAGGGGCGCGTAAAAGTAGTCGCGTCTCTCCAGATTCACCCGACGATTATCGTCGTAATGCAATTTCACGGGAACTCCCATCGTGCTGCCCCTTTTGTGATCCACCAGCGCGGCACGCAGCTCCAGTATCTCCGGTCCCGGGTTCCTGCACTCGTTTTTAATAAAAACTCTTCTTAACCCGCACCCTCCCGTCACTCTCCAACGCAATATCACCGCGACTCTTGGTTCTTTCGCAAGTTGCTACACTTTGGAAATTTATCACGGGCAAGTTTCGTTGCCAGCGAGACCGTCGGGGTATTGAGTGTATAGTTGACGGAGGAAATATAGCTAAATAGACGTTATTAATCTTAGAATCTGGGGATCCAATTAATGAACGTTACCTTCCAGCCTGCTTACTGTAGTTACATTTTTGTCTATCGTCAAAATTAAATGAGATATTCGTGTAGCCTGTGTTAAGTGCGTCGCCCTGTATAGCTGGGTTCTCGAGGCACACTCCAGTGGTTTGTCAAGTGATACACTCGTGTACGGACCGTCAAATGTGTTTTTCTCTAGTGGAAGGCTTGCCCGTTGACTGCAAGGCCGTGCTTAATGGATCTGTGTTAAGATCACGTTTCATTTTTGTCGCGAAACATCCTTTTTTCTTTTTTTCACAAACTCCAACGTTTCTTTGTAATAACAATAGAATACCGAAGTTAACCCACTCGTACTTATTGAACAAAAACTACTCCTACGATTTGTAACAACTGTAATACTGTTCAAACTGTTGATCGCCTTATTTTTTACTGCAATACGTACTCGGACGAGAGCACTACAGCTCTTGAAATTTCTTATGAACACTAATCTCCTCCAAGAGCTTCAAAACCTCGCAGTTGTCGCTAACAACCCAATTAGTGGTCGATGCGACTTTAAATAACTAACTAAAAAGAAAAAAAGAAATTTGTATAAACATCCGTAGTCTAATTATAAGAATTCATGAAATTTGACTTATTTGTAAGCACTAAGAAGCGTGCTTTCGCACCGAAAGCAAAAGATACGGACTCGCTGGCAAGAAACCTTTAGCCTTTGGAACCGCATCTCCTTTACAGACTCCTTTCGTCTAACGATAAGTTACCTAGGCCCAAGTCCGTCGTCCAGGATCTCGACCTCCGTGAGGTCGATACTGTTGTAATTCAGCTTGAGCCTGCCCTTGTAGACGGGCCTCAGGTCCGGATGCAGTATCACGTAGCCGTTGTTGGACACGATGAAGGCATACCCGTTCACTCCGAGCTTGTACGGCAACGTGAGCTTTCGGATGTCGTCAATTGGCACGTCCGTGCCTGCCACACCCAACAGATGCGCTAACCTCGTGTTATTGTAGCGTTTGTTGCCTTTGCGGTCAAACACCGGCGTGCTGACGGAGGTGAGGAGCCTGTACTCCTGCCAAGCGGTGGAGTTCAGCGTTGACGGGTCCTCTAGAACGTCCTCGTCCTCGTGGAGCTGTCGAAATCAGAGCCGAGTTAATCTCAAACACGCGGAAACGAGATCCTTAAGAAGGATTGGAAGGATTGAAAGGATCGTCGTTAAGAATCCATCGCTCTATCAAAGTAACATTAGCACCGACGCAAAAGGTAACGGAGCGTTGTCTAACGTCTAAGTCTAGGCCAGCGTTAAAGCCACACTCGCATTAAAAAGAAAAAAAAAAAAAAAAGAAGAAAACAGGACAATGGTATTCAACATTAATAATGCAGCGAGGAGATTACAAAGTCTAAGGAGTCGGCGCAAACTTCTCGGACGTCGTGCTGTCCCGTTCGCCATACTTCCAAACTGATTCATAATTTTGGAAAAACGTTCAGCGATCGACGCTCGCTGTTTCACCGCGAATCCCCATGGCGATTTACATCCATACACTCGTACGAGACAAAGATAAAACTTGTTGCATGCAACGGAGTACGGGGTCCTATGAATCGCTCTAGTCTCGATTAATTCAAACTACGATAAGTCTATGGAAAAAGTGCGAAAAAAGGCGAGGATACACTACAATAAAAATGGAGGTCTATACGTCGGTGGACTAACAAAAATCTACTACGGATTACATCACTGCATTACAACTAAAAAATGTCTGAGGAAAGTACGATCAGCCGGGACAAATAACAAAGTATTCGTTCCATACTTAGAGCTGGGACTGTTCGTCAAGTATTCAATAAGTGCACGTAATTCTATGTTTAAAATAGGGAAAAGAAGTCGAATCGACAAACAGTCACAGCCCTAAATGGGGACTGGTTCCGTTAGGTCCTAACGGTTAGGGTACCCATCGACAGTTTGCAGGGTTTCCCCGGATTCGTATACGGGGCGTAACTCGCGTATACCCAGCCAAGACGTTTGCTAGGGTAAACAGCGCATTGAAAACAACAAAACGGATCTGAAGCTACAAGGGGTTGATTGTTGCTTGCTTGGTTTCGCTAGCTTTAAACCTGCTGTATGTAGATAGCGTCCTCATTTATTCGCACGCCCAGACGTTTCCCTTTCAGATGTTTCTGAAGACGTGATCGTTGCTCCGGATGCTTCATCACCAGCCACAGCCAGGTGGCGAGTGCCGGATTCTAATGGAATTCGAATTACAATGTTTACAGCATAGACGGCACTCGGGCCATTCATCTGGTCTGGAGTTAAATATTATTTGCTTGCCGATAACGTAGCTATGTTAATTATGCACCGAATTTAAAGTAGTAATAAAATACAGAAGAATATTGTCTCTAATTATCTTGCATACGTGTGCAGTAACAATTTCTTTCTTTTAAACAAAAAGGATAATGACATATGAGAGTATTGTCTTTAATTGCTTCGCACGCGTGTGCAGTAAGAGTTTTCGTTTAAACAGAAAGTATAAAACGTGCGCCTGAAAGTGAAGATTTATAATGTAGAATACAGAGAGACCAATAAAGGCAGATTTAAGGAAATTAGGAAATTCATTTAATTTAGTTATCGCACCGTTATGTCCGCGTAAGCGTGAGTCCATACGACAGGGTGCACGACGTCCTGGAGAACCATAGGTCGGGCAACGACGGGTATGTACTTCAGGACCTGTTCACGAACTTCCTCTAGCGTGTGGACGTGCGTATAGTAACCGCGATTGAGGCAGGCCATCCACTGGATCTCGCGGACCTTCGTTACCTCTTTTCCAAGAAGATACGTGAACACCCTCACGGGGATGTGAGTGTCGTTGTCCTGCCAGTTCCACGTTTTAAAAACCTGAGCAACGAAATTCAGTGTTGTTACAATATTCGATGTTATTATCGTTTTCTTGACAGTGGCTGAAAACAACAGCGGTAGAGCTACGTATTAAATGGACGGTACCTCGGTTAAGTTTCCAGGAACGCCGTCCGTCACCAGCATTATTAGCTGATTGCACGGGTTGTCCGCGTCGCACCCACGCGACTCCCTGTAATTTCTGAGAAGGTTGAACGCTCTGTTGAAGGCTTCGGTCACGTTCGCGAGACCCTCAGTTTTCACGGACGTTATTCCTTTTTTAAACGTGTCCACGTTTTCCGGGGTGGCCTGGATTAGCATGTCCTTGAAGCAGTCGATGATGTCGTACGTCTCGTCCGTGTAGCTCAACACGGTCACGTAGTCGTTGTTCGACAGGGTGTCCAGAATCATATTCACCGTTGTCCTGGCTGAACACGTCGGGAAATTTCCGTTACTTCAAGTATACTTAATCGTTATTAATGTAACAAGAAAATGCTCGACCCTTGGAGTTTCATACAATTCACATTGCCAAATGATGCGATCTAGACTACTACCGATGTGTAGTCCTTTCTAAACGACTGTGTTCTGCCCATTTAAAAATATAATCTCTTAATTGTACGTTACTTGTACGTATAGGGTCTTGAAAGCTTTAAAACAAGAAAATGATCGCTCTGAAGATGACTAAAATGTATAATATCGGATAACATCGTAAGCTGATGGGATAATTTAGACTGTACTTAATAATTACTAGACTGCGGATTTTTATGCAAAATAAAATCTTCGCGAGGAAAAATTGAACCTAAATAGGAATTTATTTTATTCCGCAAATACTATTACATGAACTTTACTTTCAATCTTTTTTATATTCTTGCATATCGTTTGCATTTTGTAGTTTCTTGCACAGTGAAATTTTCTATAAATGCATAAAGATCCGCATGTCTAATAATTACACCAACAAGAAAATGGTTACTGATAAAATCGATAGGAATAAAAGGAAACTAAAAACTTACGAAACGATCCGATAATAAACGAGGAATGCTACTGAATAATCGGTAAATTTGTCGTCTCATTAAAGATGTAGAGAAATGAAGGAACGAAAGCGTATTTATAACGCGTATAAGGATGAGATTCCATTAATGGTTAACCAACACGGTAATATTATCGTTAACGATATTACGGTAGGGGATCGCGATATTCGTGCGAAGGCGCAATTGCATCGACATACTATCCTCCCCTAAACAATGCGCCCGTAACCTCAGGTTTGCGGTGAACTCCGAGTATGCATGCACAGCTTACAGGAGACAACCGCGATAGTATTCCGACTGCGATTCTAACACAGCTTCCACGGATGCATCGAATACACCGTCGTAAGTTTCGAGCTCCTCAAGTAAATCAACTTGTACAAGATCAGCCAGAAGTTCCGTCGAAACTGGGCCGACACTGATCGTTTCTACGAAAGAATGCTACGACGAAGTTTCGGTGTATCTGATTATTGATCTACTACTGCGCGAGGAATCGATAGTGCCCTATACAGAGAGCGCATCGTTAGTATATTCGTTCGATTCTTAATGAAATAATTGAGATTCGAATACTCGTGTAAGAGAAAACCAAACAAGCAGATCGCCATCCTCATGCTGGCGACGAAAACGTGGATCAGGCGACACTGCGACGCCAGGCCTTTCATAAACAACGTCGAAGACCCTTCAAGAGCCTTAATATGAAACAGGAATATCTAAACATAAAGATATTTTGTTACAGGAAATGTGTTAACAACTACGTAAATGTTTCACACTAAATAAAAATACAAATACAAATACAAGATTACACAGAGACTTTCCCAGACCGAGAAAGTCACTTCTTACCGAGCTTTCATTACGTGCGGACCTCGTCAATAAAATAGCAGTTCCTCTTTCGACTTTGTCTTACACTCCAGTATTCGAAGTTCGTTCGTACAGTGGGTGTAGAAAGTATTCGTACACTGATCAATTTCCCAAAAAACTTTTACGTGAGATTGTAGTTCTCTTAATTTCTTTTTTTTATAATCAATGACATTTTACGTATGTACGAATACATTCTGCACCCACTGTAGCTTGTTCATAGCTTGTTCATAGCTTTTTCGTAGCTTATTCACCGATCGTCTTTCCCATGCCGGTCATGCTACCGCTGGTGTCCATCAGGATCACCATGTCCTTGCTGCAGGTGGCAGCCTCGATGAACCAACTGCGTACTCGACAATCGTATATATCAGGCGGTCCCTCGTCGCCGTCGTCTTCCTCCTCGTCGTTCAACATAGGATCCGTCCTCCACTGCATAGCAGGATACTGTCTCAGCATGCCCGTGATAGAGCCGAAATACTGCCAAGACAACGCCGGGTCCGATTCGTAGTTTTGCTGAAAGACGCTGTCGAGATGCTCGGTCTTCTCTATATCCTTCCAAACCGCTGGTCCCATATCGTACACGTTCGTTGGCACGTGCACCGACGAGAAGCTTGTGTTTACAGGTATGTTGTAGAAATGCGAGTCCGGCGTCAACGTTATGTTCCTGTAGACAAGATTAACGGTTACCAAAGCTGTGCATGGAAATTGAAAATAATATAAATAATTCTTGTATTCAACGAGTGAAAGCTTCGATAAGTTAAAGTTAATATACGTAATTGAATTTTCAAGTAATTAAACGAAGCACAACGATAAATTCGTCGTGTACACGAATTCGGGGCATAGAATTGATCTGCTCTTTTTAAGTGGCCACCACCTAGCGCAAGCTTTGAAAACCACTGTTTCAAACGAACTGTTGCAACTTTTTCAATGCATCGGCGTATTTAGACCAGTACAGAATGCTAGACCCAATTCGTAGGTCGATCGTTCACCTAGGAATCGATGTCGAAGACATTCGAAGCTTCTCAGTCTAATTCCACTCGATGCAGTGGGGCACGTCTCGAAGAAATCGCGAGCGTTAAAGCGTATCAAAATTTAACACGTTCGTTACCAGATCGATCCAATAGAAAATCATTTTATTTTGTTTTCAAGAATGTTGTCTCGTAGAATTTAACATGTTCGCTACCAAATCGGATCGTCTTCCATATTTCCTTACATTGGTATACATTGTAATTTTACAAACCAACAGAAAATAATTTTATTTTGTTCAACAAGTAAATTGTCAAGAAGTAAATGCTTTTAAATAACAGAGCATGGAGCTCGAATATTTTCCTACGCGCATCGAAGTCCTAATTTTATTTTTGTTTTCAACGTGTCTCGAAGAATTTAACACGTTTGTCGCCAAACACCATCTTCCATATTTCAACATGGCGGCGAACGCGTTAATTTTTTTTAACGTGTATCAGGCATGAACCTGTAAAATTTGGTATTGTTCCCTATATTCTCAGGGTATTTTGGCAGAGACCCGCCCTCCACGACGCTGTATTTTCCCGAAACGTATTTAAAGTCTTCCAGATCGTCGTGGTCCGTCCAATTCCGCGCGCCTTTTTCAGCCTCTATGCGGATGCAGGTCACCGCGTCCATCTTTCTTCTCAGCATCCTGCCGACGTTCTCGCTGATTATGCTCACTAATTCGTCCCCGGACTTGTCCTCCACTCGCGTATTCATCGCTTTGTATTTCTGCAAATCATCGAGAGAGCTACAGTTACGCGAGTTCTATCTCGCTTTTGACCCGGATTCGCTCGCGTTTGCCGGCGTTGCGCCGGAACGGGCCGCGTTATTAATTTCTTGCCGCGGAATACTCGCGTTTTTCGAACGGCAACGGCCTTCCGTTAGCTCGAAGACAACGAGCGACGTATGCAACGTCAAACGTTTAAGCGATCAAAGTTAACGGTACGCCGACACGATTCCTCGAGCTAACGATATCGCTTTCTTCCTCCGTAGACCGGCAATTCTTATAATTGCGCGCGTTACAAAAATCGTAGTAGATTCTCCGTGAAAAACTGAATCAAAAGTGCGGAATAAAGTATTTTCCTGCGAGCCTTCGTTTTCGAGAAAATAAATTTTAAAGACGAGGGTAACGGACGATCACGTGACTAGCATGCACGTGACTAGCATGCACGTGACATGCTCGACGTGTTTCCAGAGATTGTAAAGATTAGCGATAGGAACACTGTTGATTACCGACGTGCAGTCGTTTGGCTAAAGATATTAAGTTGTCCGGAAAGTCCATGCCGATTTTTGGTAGGTGGTACAGGTTTGAATATATCCAAGTGGTTGAAAACAAATAACATGTATACATTCCTTAAAAGATGGAAGGTTATGGGACCTTATGGGGAATTTTCTTAGAAATTGCCACGAACTTTCCGGACAATTTAATATAATAGGAAATTTCGAAATTACGTATTTTTAGGTGAACATATGTTGAGTACCATGTCAGCTGGCTCTGTCTACCTTTGACGAGGGCAGCTTCCACCTGGCAGCTTAACGTAACAGCTGCGTTTTCGCATGGTAAATGCTGAATTCTTTCGCTAAAAGGAGAAAACTGATTGCCAGACATTACAGAACCCTTTGTATCGGTTTTAGGCGTGCCCTTGTGAAATATGCATCACTATGGCGCGGTGCTCGATTTGAGGCGTTCAATGGTGGTAACGGCCTATTGTATTACAAATCTTGGCTCGCTTCTATTAATAACGACACCCACGAGGTATGCAATGACAATACAGCGTCGTTGCATTGCTGTGAACAATCAATTTTAACCATTTTAACGTCCCCGCGAAAATTGTACGATTGCTTGCAATCGCGAGGTAAGATATTCACTAGAAGATTATAAAAAACGGGCACTCAACAAGTGGAGTAATAGTTAACGGAAACAGTCGAAAGTTTTGGCTGTTGGAAACGCAGCGCAGGCGGCATCTGTGCACGGAAGCTGCGCTTTGAAGCTGCTCTGCACTTTCCAGACGTGGGTCACACGTGATTCCTAAACGATTTCAATGGCGACTCTATGACCTCAGCCGAGCGCTACTGCATCGGTAAAGGCCTACCTCAACAATTCGTAAGTAACGCTTCCTTAGAAAAATTATCAACCGTGACGTTGTTATCTCCGGAGCGAGGGTTTCCCGCGTCAATTTATCATAGGTCGATACGTCACGGCGTTGTGACCCCTTATCATGCGACTATCGAAGCTTCGTCCCTTTCTACCTTATCTCCGCACTTTCTTTCAGCGAGCTACCTACTTTCTCCGGATTTATTCGAAGCCAAGCGTTTCGCCCATCTCTGCCAGTTGAAACTTTCAACAAAAGCAGAATCGGTTGCGAATGTTCCAATGCTCCCTCGCAAGTGAAATTAATCGCGCGCGAGGGCGTCAACGACAATTGTCACAGAGATCAGCCGATACGAATGACGGAGCAGAGAAAAGGTAAAGAGAGGGCACGCGATGATGCACCATTCGCTGATGCATTTACACGCACGAAACAGGAATTGAACTTACGCTTAATAGTTCGTCTGGTCGCGCCACCTTCTCCGCGAGTTCCCATAATTCGGCGCCCAAGGTCTTTGCCCATTGCGCCACTCTGCAAACAAACAATGTCGGTCACGATTAGACGAATTCCGTGTTCCAGAAATATCTGAAATTCCGTCCATTTGTTCGCCAATTAAACGGCTAGACATCAGAGGAGACCAACGAGAAAATAACATGGCTCACGCCATTTTAATGTATTGGGTAGGTGGTACAGGTCTGAATATATCCAAGTGGTTGAAAACATATAACATATATACATCCCTTAAAAGGTGGAAAGATTATGGAACAAAATAGTACCTATGTAATTCAATAAATATATATTAAAATTCAAACATGTTTTTGAATGTTTCTTAGAAATTGGCACGAACTCTCTGGACAACCTAATACAAAAAGAGACGTTAGATCCGCTGACTTTGATCGAATCGGTGATGTTTCTAAATTGATGATTGTAGATCTTTATCGATCGATGGAGATATGGAGAATGGAGAATGTTATGGAATGGTCCCTGTTTTACCTAGCGCAACGTTACACATCGACTACGTTTTAGCTACGTTTTATCGATGTTTATATTTCAGCGTCGTTGTTGAGTTAACAACTCGTTGACTCGTTGCCATTTTAAGTAAAGTTCCTTTGAATCTTTCTAACCCTATGCTGCAATTACACATTTCTAAGTTATTCTACGAAATATTATCATTCAGGTATATAACAAGCCTGGAGTGGTTTGACGACAAACGTCCTTCGATTCTCCTAAAGATGATGAGTAATATTGCTAAACAAGTAAGTTAATATTTATTAATCCTCATTAATCTCCTCTAAAAACCCTTTCAGCACACGATGTTTTCCATTGGAATCAATTGGAGCACCTCCCCACGTGGTGCTTTACGTGGGAGAATAACGCGTGGTAATTTAAGGGTTATGGTTAAAATCATATCTGTGCACGGAAGCTGCGCTTTAAAGATCTCCACTTTCCAAACGTGGATCACACGTAATTCCTAAACGATTTCAATGGCGAATCATATCTAAAATCAATCATGCTTGGTACATCCCATAACATTTCTGCCACGTCATCCTAAAATTAACCCCCTCTTTTCGCGTTTGCTCAATTTACCTACAGTTTTGAGCGTGTCAAAGGATCCCGTTAGTTAATAATAACAACGATAATAATTTCTAGGATCTACAGCGACGAGGTTACTCACGTGTGCGCGTGTCTGTCGTAGCAGCCGGCGCATTGGATGCAGCCGACAAGAACGAACCAACAGTACCCTATCCTCAGTTGCATATTCGCGATCGAGATTTCCGTTCTTCGCACTAAACCAGCGAACGAAGAATCCAGCACGAGTTTCGGGGGATCACCTCATCCTGTTCTAGCCGGCAGCACGTCCACGTTTATACCTTAGCGTTTCGAAGTCTCGGGACCGGCGATATGTTCCGATTATTTTTGGTACACGTACGTCGCGCCGTCTCGTAAACCGACGAACCACGAAACTCGGTCCACCGGCGCACACCGTTTCTTTCACGTGGTCTCGTGTATTTATAAAATCCTGGCCTCCGCTATGAAACGATCGTGCCATGCCGCTTATCTCATGCGGATTATTTCAATCGATTCTCTATCGAAATAATCAACAGGATGTTCGAACATATCCAAGTATGGATATTTGTTTTTAGGAGCGAAGACACGAAAGAAAATGCTGTTGGTTAAAGGTGTAGATAGATATACGAGTGTGACAAACGTATTATATACGGTAACTGATAGGCCATTTACAAGACACGTGAATCTGAGTAACTTGAGATCTATGTAACCGTAGGAAGACTGAATGCCTGTTTAAACTGCATTCTTGCGGGAATTGTACGCGCTATAACGAGTCGTACGATTATCGTATCCACGTGGTGGTTCAAAGCAAAGATGTAGACAAGAAAAAGCTTATAAGTATAATAATATTGCACGGGACCAGAGTTGGGCAACGATTATCTTTTCTTTTGATTATACTTTCTGAATGACTGTTTCAATTTTCGTTTAAATAATGCCCAACTCCCTACGGAGCAATTTGTTCCAAAATGCATTAATATTGTTTCGCGTTCTGTTCCCAGGGAAACAGTTATCGCGCGGATCGATGCAAAATCCAGCCACCGTAGCGTAATCGTACGACTGCAATTTGACCAGCTCGGCTCTCTTCGTACGCTGCTTTGTCGTTGATACCGTAAGATTGCGTAACGCGGAAAGGACGCGCATGCGAGCGCCCCGCGATCGTCGTGGCGTCGCTCTATTAACGAAGGCTCGGGTAGCGTCCAGTAACGGGGCACTTAAGGAGGAATCGAGATCACGTCATACGTTTAACGAGTTTCAAAAGACTATCAACTTTGTAACAGGCCTGTGATCATTTCTCGAATCTATGGGAATGATTGAAAAGGAAGCCTAGTCTGAAAACGAAGTCAAATTCCTTGAAAAAGAAACAAACTGACTAGTCGACGGATTTTTTGCAGACGGAGATCATATAGCAGACGCTCGATTTCTTAAACTGCAACTCGCAAGAAATTTAATAAACCACTTGTAACAATAGTATTCATTTTATAGCGTTTGGACGTGAAAACGTATTTATATCACGATTTTGAATCCGACAAAGAACGAAAATCTAGCGTCATTCTCGCATCTCTCGTCGATGATTTATAGATATAGCTTCGCCGGTACTGGTTCAAGGATACGTGTTTTACGAGCCATTTGGAAATCGACAGACCGATTCTGATTCGAGGAATCCGCTGGAACCCTAAATCGTTACCTCTCGTAAACAGCCCTCCTCTCTCCAAAAAAACGCCTCGGCGAACTGGCGAATGCTGCCAAGACCTTGACCGCGCGAGAAAATTTCTTTAAGAAAATGACGCACGCGAAAGGGAGAAGATGACGAAACGTTGTGAAAAGAAATGAAAGATCTGAAAAACTACCAAAACGGTATTCTAGAGTGTCGTATTGAATAGAACGAGAAAGATCGAATTCGCGACTTCTTAATGAATGAAGGAACGCGTGATGTTATTAGTCGATCGAGTTTTACGCTGAGTTTTACGAGCGCGTAGGCCACCACGTGCGCGTACAAAAACGTAGAAACCGGTGGCGTGAGGTGGTGCTATTATCGTGCAATAAAATTAACAAGTCTTCCATGGGCGATAGAGTTAACTGGCCAATGCGACGGAAATGTCTCGTCGCTGACTATGACATAAGGCATAGCGGTTTGCGGACATTTCGTATTCGATTAGTCATTGAACAATGTCTAATGTTCTTCAAGTTTTCTCCTTTTTTATTCATATTTATAAATATGAAATCTAGATTCATCCTAAGTTTCAAGTGGACTCTGTCTCGATCATTCTTGGATATCCTTGATAAATATGAATATGAATAAATTTATGAATAAATTCATAAATAGCGCGTTGTTCACATTTTCATTTATAATTAACTCTTCATTAAATAACGTTAATCACTTTTCGCTTAGATTGTTTACTATTCCGCACAGAATCGTTTTCACTCCAACCAAACGGGTAATTACAAAAATTATCATTGTTGTTATTATTATAATTATTCATATTATTATTATTATTATTATAAATTTATTCATATTCGTAATTACAAAACCGCGCGATATAAATATATTCATATTCATGAATATCCCCATCTCTGTTAACAGTTACGGAAGCAGTATACTCTTATCGTTTGCGTCACAACTATAGTTATTTGCTTATAAGCAAAATAAAACGTTGCGAACAACACGAGTCGTGTTTAACAATAATAAACAAGCGTACGTTGCGTCAAACTAGTATACATGTACGTAAATGTTCTTTGTAGTCGATAAAAATCTCGTCGAATAAATACTTAATTAACGTAAAGAAATACGTCGGAATATTTGCCGGCTACGTTTCCAAATACTCTGATAGCGTTCCTGTCGAAGAAAATAATTCTGCAAATAAAATGAAGTTTTCATAGAATGCGATAAGAATTTCCATCGGAGCATACGTACTCCTTCGTCCTCTTCATGTAATTCAATGGGCAACTTCCTGCTGGAAATACAACACCTTCCCTTTCGTTCGTCGTTAGCCGTGTGACATCAGGTCAACAGATGCATCCATCGTCGTTGGGAGCTTCGGTGTCTCGAATTCATCCGTCGAAATTCAATAAGGAACAATTTACGCTTCACTTTCGAATCCCTCAACGTTTGGATCAGCATAGACCTCTCGGTCTGGACCTAGAATACCTTAACAACCCATTATTTACTGCCTGTGTGTTACGACGCCCCCTCAAGTGGAGCTGCTTCGACCATTCTTGAATATCCTTCAGTTTAGCATTAGTAAACGACAATGATTATACAATATTTAAATACTCTCAGCTCTAGGTCCACCCCACCACGACGCTAACAATAATTCACAAGAAATTTTCAAATATTTACATTTCTCTACCGAAAGAAAGAACAAACAATTCCTATAAAAGTTTTACTTCCTTTCCTAGTATTCGCACTCCTAAGAATTACAAGTACGTCTAAAAATTGCCACGAAAATCGAAAGTGACCCGGAGGGCGACGAGGATGTCGCGTTGCTCGAAGGAGGCCTATTCGAGGATGGCAATAACTTCCGCGAAAAGAGGAAAACGTCAGCGATATCATAATCAGAACGTGTCGAAAAGGTGTTTCGCGGCGAACAGTGCCGTAGAACTCGGCGGGGAACAGCTGGTGCATAGGGATTGATATTGATTCGAAGCACGCGGGGCCGGCGTTGCCGGGCAGTCACGGGCCAGGCTCACGTCGAACAGGAGGCCAGGCTCAAATGCCTCCCGAGTGCGAGGAAATCGAGGATCGCGGCGTGCCGGAGAAGATTTCTTGCATCGACGGCAGGATCAAGGACCACCTGCGTTTCACGGTGCCCCCTTCGCCATGCGGTGTGTCTTCCGATCGTTAATCATCTTTTTTTTATCCTTTAAAATCGCTTCTTGCGTCTCATAACTGTCTCGTGCTTCGCCTCGCTTCATCGCGAAGGTATCCTGGCTGTTCGGTGCACGTGCTGTCGGCGTTTTCCTATTATCCTGAACGGAAACGCCGGCGAAATGTTTCTGGAGGATTGGAGACGTTTTTTAGTAGAGGAATTAAATTCTTCGTAGGAGACTTGTGTAATTGGTGTTTACCTATCTTGGAAGTCTGGAATGTCTTCTAACAGCAAGGAGTCCTTTGACGTGTTCTCCGCGTGTGCTCGGAACTTTGTTTATTATATTTGGACGATTAGTCGCTGTTACGATTTCGAGCGTCGTCACGTGCTGTGTTTGTTGACCCGTGTACCGATTCTCGTTTCTTCGAATGGAATTATCCAAAACTATCGTTTAAATTCAATTATAGAAGGATTAATATTTTCTTTGTAGCGAGCCAATTCATTCATTTATAATTTAACGCTGGGACGAGCTTTTTGGAAAAATCAAAATTCGGAACAAACGATTCGAGTAACTCTATCGGTGTTCTCTTGTGTCAGGTTACAGCTTGGACTCGAGGGAGGTGTGTCTCTGAAGCTTTTGGAATCCACTGAGATCCTGAGCCTCGTAAATCGAGCGTTCCGTGTTCTCCGCTAGCGCGGATATCTTATCTTTGAACTATGGCAGACAGCTCGTTTTTCACCTAACAGTGAATATTTATGAATCGAAGAAATCAGGGTCAGTTGCCGGGAAGTCCGATGCTATGTAATAATTAGAGATCCTCGACAGATAGTGTCAGCACCAAGTGCAAAAACCAGCCTCTCGCAGTTTTAGTATGGTCCAAAAAACGTCTCTGGTATGTAAATAATCCTGGCAGATATTCTTCCTCGTGCATCTTTGGCTAGGACGTAAGTAACAGCACAGTACCTGTAGGCAAATCAGTTTATTACATTATTTACGCGAACATTTGAATATGATAGTCTAAAAGAATAATTCCGATCTAGAAATGTAGTAACCAAGTATTAATAATCAACCAATACAATTCTAATATGAATTAACGTAATTGTCTGATCTCATGAACGAATGAGTCCCTAATCTACGTTCATTCACAATTGTACAATCCTAGAAACTCTAACCACAGAATGACGAGTTTGATAGGATTAGTTGAGTTTGTAACTCTAGCACGAATCAAATCTTTCGAGAAAGAAATTGAAAACAATTAATGGCTAAAATTTACCAAGTATCCACCCCTAAGAACAACCTTGAATTTAATGTGTAAATATTTCTGTAGCAAGATGGAATAATTTCAAAGCATGATAGTAATTGCTTTCCGCGATTGACTTCAAAATCTCTCGTACGCCTACGCCCGCGTCACCATTTCGCACCCCCTCGAAGCCGTACAACGTCTTACGCATCGCTGTTTCTACTGGAATACTTTGCATTTTCTCTGATCTCAAGTACAAGTCTAATTCACTTTTGGAATCGATCACATTTACATTATAGAAGCATGATAATTTTGCAAGAAGCTACTGTTTAAATTAAGAACCTAAAATTGGTACGATTCAATTTACCAAATTAACTATATAAGAGGATGCCATAATACCTCATCCATATGCTTACTTTGTATATTCAATTGTGCATGCGACGATTCCGCAATCTCAGACTAGCTACTGTTTATCTCAGAAGCTAAAATTGCTACAATTCAATTTACAAAATTAACCATATAAAAGAAGTGCAATTGAATATACAAATTAAACGTATGTGCGAGGTACTCTTGCGTCCTTCCAATTGTTAATTTGGCCAATTTCTAATATTCACTGCAAGTGCAGGGACAGAGCGGTCGTAGGAGGCCCGACAGACATCGCGTGTTCTGTATTAGGTAGACTAGTCGGCGACTGTTGTTCGGGGGCTGTTTGCGGCTGGCTGACTGCGTGATATCAGCGTACATATAATCGGAAAACTAGGAAAATATGCTTACGCACTGTACTATGTATATGACGTACAAATGAACGAAATTGCTCAGCGTAACCGCAAACCACAATGCGTCGATTGGGTAGTGAGAAAAGATCGGAGGGAGGGAAAGGGTGATGCACGGATCGAATTGATTTCAGTTAAAGCTTAGGGTTTTGACCAGGAGACTGGTCAGTGACGGGTCAGACGTCCTATCGTGCAGGCAGGTCGTGCGCGTATACCACGGTGGATCCCACGCAGGATCGAGAAGGGATCGACGGATAGATTGATCGTGTCGCAGCCCTCGACTACTTCAAGCTCCCTCTAGATTCTAGATCTTCCTAGACAACGACACGGTGTGTGCTGTATTTACTCTCAATTATTTCTGGATGTATCTTGTTTTCTCGTACATCTGAAAATAGAATTTTCTCAACTTTTGTTTAAATGGAAGTGTAAAATACGAACCAGAGTTCTTCCACCCTTGCTTGTAGAATTTATCCTCCTAGCTGTTAAAAATAATTTTTTTTGTTTAATGTAACGGGCTAGAGATATAATTTTGAAGAGAACCGTGATAGAGAATTGATGGATTTTCTCCATCGTTATATTTGTGTAATCTCTATCGCTATTACTATTTTATGTAATGGCATAGAATTCCCTTATCAAACTGCGAACTAGTCGTCTATCGAATACTTCTATGGCGATTAGATAATCGCGATAATTTGAACATTATCGATTTTCTTGCCAAGTAAATATTAAAATTATAGATTACAAATTGTGCTTATATCAGGTGTCAACGTCAGCTGACAGATCTCGTCTTTGTTTAGTTTGACAACGATAATCTAAGAGATCTTCGAAATATAACAGTTAGCGATTCTCCCTATATCCCGACTCGTAAGTACTAAATAATATAAAGGTCGAATACGGTATTCGTTAAAGATTATTTTCTCGCTGTGATTTAGTGATAAACAAATATCAGAGAGTAGGGAACTCTTCTCGAATGACTCGTGACTCTAAGTAAACACAAGATGATTCATAAATTTCTAAAACCTTCCAATTAGTATCCTCCTGATTAGATAAATCTTTCCTGAAATCGTCTAGCGATTTACACGTTTAATTATTCATTTCAACGAATATCGTCTACAAAGTGCAACTATTATATGCTCAATCGGTATTCAAAAGACTGCACCTACGCCATCGTCGACTTCCTAATGTTTTCTAATTGAAAATAATTGTCTCGTTGGAAATAGTGCAGAAATATCGAAATGCAATTTTTTCCCACAAACGAGGGGACGGTGCCCGCTACCTGTGCTCACGCGAGCAAATCGGTAATGACGGAAGATTGTAATAAATTAACGGGTAATTGGTATTGGCCGATTGACCGGGCTGTCGCGACCTCTACGCCTGGTGCGTGAGTCGGCAGCGCTGTCCGTGCGAACCTCGGCGCCCCGGGCCAACAGGGTTAATTAGTTCAAACTACTCTCCATCTGCGCCGGTGTCCAGAGAATGCGATTAAAGATTTTACACGGCCGTTCCACCTCGATCGTTTCTATTGTGCTTCGAGCGTGTGGCGTGAGTCCAGGACTGGTACTAGACTTACCAGCGCCCCATGCAGTTTTCAATTCAAACGCTCTTGCTACAAACTACAAGAAAAGGGCAAATTTTAGTACAGCTTGTTGAATGTGCCAGACTCAACTATATAAAAATATAATATAAAAAATATAAAATACATTTCATTTTTCTTGTTCTTCAAGCGTGTGGCGTGAGTCCAGGACTGGTGCTAGACTTACCAGCGCCCCATGCAGTTTTCAATTCAAGCGATCTTGCTAGCTCATGCTACAAACTACAAAAAAAGGGAAAATTTTAGTACAGCTTGTTGAATGTGCCAAACTCAACTATATAAAGATATAATATAAAAACTATAAAATACATTCCATTTCTCTGGCCACTAAAAATCATCATCTTCCTTCTTCAGATTTCTCAGTGTACTCTTTTCGAATCGCTGTCTAAATAGGAAATATTGAAGAACATGTTAGGTTACATGGCAAACAACTCGAAATTACTAAGAAATCTATGTGACGATTTTACTACGAACAGAAAGGTTAGAATGAACGCGTTCATTCATTTTATAGTTGGTAAACAACAGTTGTTTACCCAAGCGTGTACGACCATTTCCTGTGAAAATTACGTTCAATATCTAAAAATGTTTACTGGTGGATAAGCTTGACTGACAAACAATCGAAACTCTTATTCTTCCGTGACATTGATATCTTATCGCAGATTCGATAGAGTTCAATGTAAACGTAAACTATTATACCTGCGTTTACACGGAACTATGAATATATTATTTTCATGTAACGTTTCTTTTCTTGAATCTAAGCGTGTATTCGACACGAGGAACCAGTTGAATACGAATCGTTCTCTCAGAATTTTAGTGAAAATTAAAGAAAACGATTGAAAGTGCGCTGAAGTTCGCGCTGGTAGTCGTTCGGACAGAATCAATATGGCTGCGTCCACGGCAGTGAAATAATCACATCGTAGAGGTTAGGTTTCCGCCTCTGGGATGACGGTATTACTTCACTTATCTGGCTTCTGGGAAACGTTCTCGCGTACGAGATGGTGTTGACAACGTTATATTGGAGTCTGTCGATTCCGAAACGATTTCTCGTTCTGCTCGTACAATGCTCGTCATGTAAGTGGTCGTGGTATTGTAGCAAGGTTATTTTTTAAAATCGTCACTTATTCATTTATCTTTTTTTCTTTGGATACCGCGCCTGTCATCAGATCATTCAAACGTCACAGCATCGCGATTGTTACGTCAAGGCGGAAAATATTATTTCATAGAAAAAAAAAAAAAAAAAAACAACACATAAATCATCCGAATTTATTTATACTTAAGCGACTTGAGTCGACTTCGAACCGACCAAAAATGTTTGGGCGGGAAACCCACCGGAAACGGAAAACACGCATATGTTATTAAAGCACGTCACGGACAGATTCAAATCCCCTTAATTAAGCAGCTAATTATTTGCACTTAAAGAAGTAGACACGATCGGTGTAGCATTATATTGGATTATCGTGTAGAGGGGCATGTCGCGGTAATCCGTATTCCCATGTTCCGTGATTGCTTGAAGGTTGCGTGGATCAGTACTTGGCGAAGCTTTGCTCTAAAAGTTCTTGCTCGCGGTACCGTTGCTATCAGACATAATAATTTGTCACAATCAACGAATTAGCAAAAGAAATTAGAAAAAAAAAACACAGTTAAAATTTAATTTATTTAAAATTTACTGATCCTATCAAGAATAACTGCTTCCAATATTATTCTACATACATATGCATTTGTTAGCATACTCACATTCACATAAAAATCCATTATTCATTCTTCGGTATAAACGCAGACATAATAGTTTGTGTACACATAGATAAATTAAATTGTTTTGCTAATTCGACGATAGCGATTAGTCGTAATAACAAGCAATACTTACTATTGTCAAAGGTTTATCATTAGTTCTAACGGGTGGTTCGTTGCAGGTCGTCGAGCGATGGTAAACAAATTCTGGTGTCACGAGGTAGCAAGAAAGTGGTTTCTGAAGAAGGCCGAGCCACCGCATGCGCGACAGTTCTCCGAGCCGAAATGTCAACAGCACGTGGCTACCTGGTACCTGCTCTACCGTTGGTTGATCTTCTTAGCCTGGACCTGTATCATCGTGTGTTCGATCTTCGAGTTCGGTAGCTACAAGCCCATGATCGCTTACGACAAATGGCCGATATACTTGACCAACTGGGACTTAATGTTGGGCCTGTGTCAGGCCCTGCTCGGCGGACTTCTCGTATCGAGAAGATGGAAACTGCAAAAAGTATCAGACTTCAATCCGTCTACGTTAACGATAGGTTTTACAGAGAGGGCTTATTGGTTCTTTTACATCGCAACCACGGGTACGGCGTTTTGCGTATCTATCTCCTATTGGTGTAGCATTTACGATCCTAAGATTCATCATCTAGACCCTTTAAATATAATGTTACACGTATGCAACAGTGTTCTAATGGCTATCGATTTCTGCGTAACGAACGTCCCGTTTAGATTGAAAAACTTTTGGTGGTGTTTGTCTATACCGTTGTTGTACACTATTTTCTCGCTGATGTATTATTTGGCCGGCGGTTTAGACAAGAACGGCGAACATTATATTTATAAGATCCTCGACTGGAAGAAACCGTTACGTAGTTCGCTAGTGTGCGCTGGCGAGTTCGTATTTATCACCGTCGTGTATTCCATAGCATGTCTTCTCGAGCAAATTAAAAATCAAGCCTACGCTAAATTCGTCGTGAAATCGTACACGGTAACGAAAAATTCTGTTACGGAAAAACGTGCCGATATAGTTTAAAAAATCGTAGGCTATTTCCTATAACGATCTACAGTTCCAAAGTAAATTATTGTTTGTACATTTTATTATTCCTCGTATTACTCGTAAGTTATAGTTCAAAGTATTAATATGTCATTTTATAAGTAATTTCACTTGTCTATGATTAAGGAATTACAAATAGGGCCCTAGTCGAGGGAAGAGGTGGTGCCCAGTTTCATGCTCATTCAACGAAATGTATCGTTTTAAAAATAGCTACGTAAATCTATGATAGGAATTGCAATTTGATTGCCGGTTTGATTTTTACGTAAGATTCCTGATTGTTAATTGCGTCTACATCAGCGTGATGTAATATGCGCGCATAAACAAACTTACGATATTCGCGCATGCGTGCTCGACACTATTCACGATACAGTATTTCGAGAAAAAAACAAACGAACATTCCTAAAGCTACGTTATAAAATATGTATATAAGGTACAATGTGTTGGATTGCAAATACATCATTTTTGTTTAATATAAAAATATCTGAAAGTAACACTCGTCACTTTGGGAAACGCGGAAAGGCACATAGTTAAAGCGTGCAGTATAAATTTTAGAAATGCGAAGAATTTGTGTAGAAAAATTGTGAAGAAAAATTATGTATAGAGAATGTGTCCGATGTATGCACGTATACACGTTTATAGATGTGAAAGCATTTAATTTTAGTCCATTATACTTTATCATTGCATTTGATATCGATGTTGTAAACATATCTCGAAATTATTTATCTTTAATATTAAGTCCTTGAAAATACAAATAGTTTGATATTTTTATTAAAGGGTATTCGATCTTTTAGGAAATATGTAATAAATATTCAAATACTTGCGATATTTTTTTTTTAAGTATAAAGTACATCGATCTATAATTTTACCTAAATACGAAATACTACATATTCACAGAAGTAGAATACCACTTTAATTCTTCAAACTATCAAATTATTCATACTAAGTGAAAATTCATACTGTATGAATGTGTAAAGCTATTTATATCCTACGAAAAACCGTATTAATTTTTCTTTTTATACATATTAGCTACTGTATATACGTATAAGGTTCCAGGAGTGTTATCTATAATGGAAGAACAGCGGATGAACTTTCTGGAAAAATAGCAACGATTTATTAATAAAATAACGATTTTAAGCAATTATGGACTGCCATATGAATGAATGTAAGGCTAAAATGAGCCTTCGATCACAGACCATATTAAAACTTATCCTACATTAAAAAATAACAATGATCAATTTTCGCCCACATCCAAATACAGTCGTTTAATTATTCGAGCCCCCGCAGATTTATAGTACTTTCAGATGGTACCGAATCAAGTAATAGCACCTGATACTCTGTTCCTACTACGTCATCTTGATAATACATAGAAGGTAATTCCTCTGTGAGCAATAAACCTTCTTCTAAATCACTTGCACCTAACACAACGTCGGATGCTCCGACGAGAGAGTCTAACACAGCACCGTTTGCTTTTAACTTCCACACGTCCGAAAATGTTAAATCAGTTCTCGCCGATCCCTGATCTTTTCTCGCGTGTTGATCAGATATTTGTCGATGCAACATAACTTGCGACGAAGATTCCGACGTTTTCAATACGTTAGAAAGAGGCGGTGGTTCCGGTTCAGGTAAAGAGCGATCCGTTTCCGCAGATGCGCTAAGGATAATAGCGTCACATGGTGCTACCATTATCATTTGCTCTGTAGGCTCCGACACCGAAGGAGCTGTACACAAAATGTAATCCATGTTACAAACGGAACTCCCTGGTACTCTTTTCGACGAGTTATCACAATCTTCGACGGGAGTACCGTGTACTTTTAGCATGTGGGCTCTTAACGTGGCTTTTGTTGTATAAGAACGTGTACAGGTTTCAACAGGACAGTGATACAAGGTTTTAGGTTTATCTTGTATAGGCACTGCGTCGTCTTTATTTTGATTTTCATTATTATTTCGCAGATTAGTATCGATCAGTTCAGATTTAATCGTTATCGACGAGTCTAGGCATGACGTATTTACATTCAGATCTATCAATTTTCTCTTTGATTTCACAACCGGATTTATCCTAGAACAATGCGTTTCCTTCGATTTACTACGTTTCTGTCCATTGACGGTGTCGTTGGAATTCGTCTCTACGTCTTCCTTAATTTGATGTTTCTTGATGTGAACGTACAAACTACTTTTCGCGGAAAACTTGGCGTTACATATAAAACACTGAAAATATCTGCCTTCCTTATGCGTCAACCTGTGTTCCTTGAGATGTTCCGATCTCATAAATGCTTTCCCGCAAGAAGGAACGTCGCAGACAAATTTTCGTTCGTTGGTGTGTTTTTTCTGATGCCTTTTCAATTTGCTAGACGACGAGAAGGCCCACTGGCAGCCTTGAAATGTACAAAGATAAGGCTTGCAACCAGTGTGCGAACGTATATGCGCTTTCAACCTGCATGGCTTGTCGAATACTTTTCCGCAGCCAGGCCACGAACACTTTACGTCTACTTCCTTATAACTATGGCATCTTTGATGCGATGTCAAAGCATTACTACTATAATATCTTTTACCGCAGCCTTCGTGTTTACAAACGTACGGAGCATGACTCTGATCGTGAGATTTCATATGCAGTTCAAGAGCCCTCTTGGTTTGAAATTTTTCTGGGCAGTCTGGCACTTGACATACTATCCTATTAGGGCGAGTATGTAGCTTTGTGTGGCTCCACAAATTGTAAATTGTAGTAAAACGTCGATTACAACCCTGTACCTCGCAAACATAGTCTTTGCGTTTCAAATGTGTCTCCTTGTGCCGTTTGAGCTTAAATTCCGAATAAAAGGCCCAAGCACATCCTTCAAAGTCACACTGAAACATAGAACGAGATAGATCGATATTATACAAGTTTATTTACATAATTAAAATTTATTTACCTTAAAGGGTCTCACACCATAGTGAGCTAACAGATGGCCTTTCAGGGCATAAAGCTTGCTGAATTGTCTACTGCAATCCTCGCGTGGACAGTCCCATACCTTCCCATGCTCATTTATCGATATCGGTTGCAAGTTGTCGTCCGTAATGCCCAATTCCTCCAAAGCATTAGATATCACCATTTCATGATTACTACCATTCTCTGCATTCTGTTCTATCGTGCTGTTCCAAGCCGTCGAAGTATCTATTTTCGGTAATTTCGGAAAGTTCCCCGTGGCCTCTATGAGCTCCGATGTCTTCCCCTGATAAATCTGTTCCTCGGTACCCGTATTTATAACAATTTGAGTCATGTTCGAAATTTTATCCGTAGATATCGCTACAACCGCCATCACTCCATCTTCGGTATCGATAAAGTCTTCCCCAGATATCGTAATCTCATTCTTCATCTTCGTCTCCCCAATTCCTGGTACTTTCCTCCGCTTCTTAATAATTCGTGGTTCCAATTTCACCTTAGCTTTACTTTTCAACTGTTCAATTATAACATTCTCCGAATCAGCTTCAATCAACTTGCTGTTTGGCAATTGGTGGATCGCATTCTCTGACCCCAGATCTTGCATATACAGATTCGAATCGTTCTCTGGTGCGCAACTGTCCTTTTGAATATTGTCCACTTTGTTTACATTTTCTACGTCGTGCAAAACGTCAACAACGATCTGCGCGGTTTTACTATGGGACACTTGATCCTCTGCAATCATGGTCTTTCTTATTAAAGAAGTTTGATCCGGTTCTGGGCATATCTCCTCGACATCCCTGTTGGAAACGCTTAAAGCTTGAGCGCTGGTCGATGGTAGGATCTCGCCAGCGACCATCATGTCGTCAGGAGATAATGCCAATGGATCCAGAGGGTCCAACTGGAACTCTGGCAATATGAAACCATCCTTTTCGCAAGCGTCGAGCAGCTTTTCGTTCTGCAGCTCTTGGAGCAAGGGATCATAACCTAGGTTAAGTTTCTTGTCAGACAGATCGATGTCGATGGAGAGACCGTCAGGGTCCTTTTCCAGAAAAGCGTGCTGGAGTTCCTCGCCCAGGTATCGGTCGACGCCCTCCTCGACCCCTGACTTGATCCCGTCGAGGTCCATGCTCGACACGGACTCCGTCCGCGTTTTTAACCATTTCTCGATATCAGCTACGGTCTCGACGTCGGCTGTCTTCGCGATTCCCTCGACGTTTACCTCGTTCGCGACGCCGTTCACCTCGTGGCTACACTCCACCCAGACTCTTTCGGAGTACTGTCCACTCGTTCTGTCGTCGCCGCTCGCTGTTTTATGTTTTCCTTTTTTATTTGCTTCCACTCTTTTGTCCTCGTCCGGCGAAGTGGGCAGCAGACTCGATTCGGTGTAACCTATCACGGATCCACCCGCAACGCCGACCTCGCCGTGCGCCCAACCGCGTACCGAACACAAACCGCGTCGATTACGAAATATTCGCGGGATTTGTTTTGACTTGGAAGCGGAGGGAGTTCCTTTACGAGACATTTGACTGCCCCGTAGCCAGCTCTGTAGGGGTCCACACACAGCAACAACGCCGCCATCGAAGGAAACATTTTGTAGAACACGGGCCGCCTGATATCTCTGCGAATCGAGTTAACGCTCGCGCTGCAAGATGACGCCACGTGCACCACTTATGTAGGGACCTACATAACCTATGTAGTCATAAGTCCAAGCAGCGTTACCAACCTAAGCTAGAGAATCTAGCGTTAGAAGGTTTTCGTTTTTTTGAATTACGAGATGCAGTTAGAGTCGTTAGAAGTTGGTTATCGCTGGTTACCGTGTCGACACGTGTTCATCTTGTGAAGAGAAATAAAGAATTGAAGAGATAGATAGCTGTGTTCTACTATACAAGACCGAGATTACCTTCTCCGGACAAAAGTCATTGTTATATAAAAGTTTAGGCGTAGATGTACGCTACACTTATGCGGGTTTCCTAGCCCCGCGACTCCTACTGTTCCAGGAATGAAGAAGTCAGGAGAGAAATGTAGACGGTTAGGTTACAACAGCGACGAGGTGAAATTTTATTGTGTATTCGTAACAGACGTAAGAACACGTCTATACGCTGAGAACGTTGCACAACAACTGCCGGTCGCATGCGACTTCGCAACATGGCCGCTTCCCCCACTCTCGCGTATAGAGTGAGAGGGAAGAACGCAGTACCTACACTTACGCGCGAGATTCAAATGTTACAGGTGATTCATACGTTTAGTTTTTAATGTATGTAGACATAAGTTCTATTTACGATTATATTTTTTTATAATCCTCGATAAAGAGATTACAGGTCTCATCGTAGTTTCTTTTGTGGATTCCTGGTATTTTCGCTCGAATGAATAGCCATCTAGCAGTGAACATACCGAACTATTTTTCGAAGTGAGCGCCTCTATTGGGAAAATGCCCAAGTTTGTCCTCGAATAGTCTCAATTTTCCTCACTAGAT